TTTTTTACCCCTTACCCCCCCCCCCCCCCCCCCGCCCCCGGGTAGTATATGTATATATATATATATATATATCACACATAACGGGGGTAAGTTACTGACGATGGAAAAATGAACAAGGGGTGGTGAGCCTATTGGGCTGAGTCCGAATATACGGGTATATCGGTACACAAAGGGCCAGTTCTTTGACTGTCATTGTACGTTTGTAGCCACGGGAGTCGAGTACCGCGGGAGTCGAGTATATATGAATGCGATACGGGTTAGAAAGACAGAGAGACTAATGAAGGAACCGACCAGACGACGAGTCCAACAACGTTGCCCTCCAGATCGACGGCAAGACTGTGCAAGCCCGCACGACATGGACGCTGCTTCTCTACCTGACGGGCGCGTCCGAGGGTTGCGTCGGCGGCGAGACCGTCTTTTACCCGCACGACCGCCAGTCCGAGGCCGAGGCCATTTGCGTGTCGCCGCAGACGGGCATGCTGCTGCTACACAAGCACGGCGACGACTGTCTTTTGGTACGTTGACACGGCCTGCGTTCACCCGTTTCTTTTTATTTTTATTTTTATTTTATTTATTTATTTTCCTTTGAGTTGAAGACGGCTAATGTCGACGACAGCACGAAGGCAGAGAGGTCCGCGCCGGCGAGAAATGGGTGCTGAGGACGGATTTGTGTATTAAGCGCTAACTAGCTAAAGATTCAAAGCGAAACAAATCATGCAAGCCAAAATGTAACTGTCCCAAAATTTCTTTAAAAAGTCGCCAGCTACCCATATGAACGCCAATCTTGCATCATCCCCCTCAATGGCTTCTCAATCCCCGTCAGAGTCCTCATAGAGCCGCAGCAGCTGATTCACCTTTGACTCTATGCCCTCTATGCGGCTCGAGACCGCGCTGCGGGACGGGGTATACTCGGTCGACTCTTCTGGAGTGTTGCACCTTGTCGTTGCGGGCTCGGTGCGGATAGCGTCAAAATCTATGAGGTCGGCTTCCCCATCGACCTTGACTGCTTCCTTGGGCACCTCAATCGATCTCCTTGGCTCTTCAACAAAGGGAGTATCAATTCCTTGAGAAGTATGGTCCTCTTGTTGAGGTGGCGCGGCCGTCGCCATTGGCGTTGGACGAGTAGCTGCCGCCAAACTCGTCTTACTCGGTTGGTAGCTGTGGCCCATGGCAATCTTTACGAGAACCCAGTGAAAGATCCACGGGAAGCTAATGAGAGGCATGGCCTTGGGCGAGTACTCCAAAGCCTCCCCTTCTGCCTCGGCCTCGGCCAGGAAATCTTTGGCCTCGTCTTCTGTCACCTTGTATATGGCAGCCACAAGCTCCTCCAGTTTGCTGCCACCGGCAATTCCCGCCTCTTGGATGCACATTTCACGAAATCGCTGCTTGACCGTGTCAAACTGTTGACCGAGATCCTCCTGAAGCTTATAGTCTGAGCCGACGGCCGGTTTGGACATGGCCCAGCCAGAGTAGAGCTCAAACTCGGTCGCGACGCGGAACTGCTTCAGCAGACGCCGCACAGCCACATCATACTGCTGCTTGAGGTTCCTAGCCGAGGCGAGGATCTCGTCGGTAAAGTCAAATCTTTGGGTAATTCTCGAATCAAACTCGTCCTCGCAGCTGGGAACGTAGTCAAAATTTTCTTCGGCCACGCGATTGTAGAGCTTGCCCAGTGCCTTGTGCGACGGGTACGTGCAGCTGTTTCTCTGCATAAAGTGCGGCCATTTGCTTGGTTGGTATCTGGCTCTGTTCCATTCTGCGGGCACACCCGTTTTCAGGTAGTCGACGGCCTGCGAGTGAAGTTTGGCGAGCTGCAAACCTGTGCAAATTAATCATTAGTGCAAGTCTTTACACATTTAACGGCTCTCTCACATATAGGATGGTTCAAGCCCAAAGCATCCGCATGCGCGAGATGCGCGACTGCAACAAAACCCAAACAGTCATTCTTCATATACTTGACCGCAAAGTTGCGCAAGTCATCCACCTCGACACCCCTCTCCAAGTCTTGCGGAGTGACGGGTGTAGAGTGCATCGGCGGAGAGTTCCAGATTTTGGGCACAAGCGTGGAATCCCAAATGACGAAATATTCGTCACCATCCAGGTCACCCCCAGAAAGTATGCTTGGGAGCGAACGATCACCTTTGGAGGGAAACACGACAACGTCTTTCAGATGCCGCAGGCAGGGAGTGTCGACCGCTTCGACAACACGAATGTCGCCTGCATGTAGCGATGGATTGCGACCAATGAAGCAGACGCCTTGGATAATCGTGGTTTTATTCCCATACTTTCGATCACTCATTTGAAGAAAGATCTGCGGAAGAACTGCTTTATTCTTACCTCGAGATCCTTCCGTCTGAATGGAATGTCCTCGCAGCGTGCCCGTCTCGTCAACACATCCCATGACGAAAGCACTCTTCTCAATCTGGATCCTGCACTTTTCCTTCATGAGCTTCAGCGACCAAGACCGCCAGAGCTTCAACAAGTTCTTCACAAAAGGGTCTTGAAAGTTGGCCTTCAGAAGCTCGGCCACAATCACAGTCGTCTAGTTCTCGTCGACAAACTTTGTCAAGAGATCAATAGCGGCCACGCGACTCGTCATCGCTTCTTCGTAATGTTGGATCTGTTTGTTGAGCAGCGCCATGAACGCTCCGAGAGGAACTCCGAGGTGCTCCAAAATGGTAATGATTTGACGGTTGAGCGTCGCAGTCGATGTTTTGGCGCACTTTATGATCTCAAGCGTGTTTGCCTCGGTGCTAAACTTGATTTGTGACTTTCGTAGGCAAACTTCCATGTGCTTTGCATATTCTCGCGGCCACACTGCGAGAACTCCCTTGGCGCCACCCATGCGAAACTGAAAAGCAGACGGATTTCCGACTATGTCCAGTTCCAATTCATCAACAACCAGCTGTGCAAGAAGAGCCGATATGATACCCACGCCATCGGTAAAGCATTCGCCTTTGGCCTCAATATCGTCAATGTGGCGAATTGTAGGCACACGAACTCCGCGCACCTCTCGCGTGGTTGAAAAGCACTGTCCGATCCTAGCCCCAAATTTGGCGACATTGCGAATATGGTCAAAGTTGCCCAGCCACTTGCGAATGTCATCGCACGATACATGCGCCGTCGGGCAGAAAAAGGTCACGCTGCCTTCTCGCAGCTGTGAGTTTCCAAATGCTAGAAATTCGTACGTTCGTTCTCCAATGCGGATACCCTTGTGCAATGCACGCAAAAGCCTTTTCCAGACATCATCGTTGTTGTAGCGATCTTTTGCGATGCGATTAGACTCTGTTTCAGAGAGAAACTGCACACGAAGAAACCTGTCATGCAAGTTGTTGTATTTTCGCATGACACGATTTGAGCTCTCGACATTTGGGAGGTTCAGCTTCAGTGACGTTGGCGTAATATTGGCCTTGAGCACAAGCGAGCAATAGTACGGAATCTTTCTCTTGATCGGGGCATAGCGAAATCGTGCATCTTCAAATAGTTGTAGAGGGTCCTCGAGTTGTATCTCTTCATCGACCAGGTACTCCAGCAACTGGCTCGCTTTTGGGACATCCAACGCTGCCAACTTCTCCAGGAACTCGGCGTCGATTGCGTGCTCACGTAGATAGCCTCGAGTAACACATACCTCGAGTCTGTAACGGACAGCAAAATCCAGGTAAATGTGGTGAGCGGTCAGGCTGAGGTACTCGAGAGTATTGGAGCTGCTGTCATCCGAGGGATGGTCCAGCAAATCCCACATGCATTTGTGATTTTTCTCTAGCTTGAGAGTCGTGCGAGTCGGAACTATATCATACTGTTCCAACGCTAGCATCAAGTTTTCGACCGCTGTAAGAGACTGTGCATCAGTCTCATCAATGATGCACCGAAATGTCTTCAAGCGGCTAATGTCGATGCATTTGCCAAGCTTTCCTCGACTGTAGGTCGATATCGGAGTCTTCTGCGGCTCAACGATGACTTCATAAATGTCGGTTGCGCGTACCCAGTTGTCGTTGCAATGCCATCTCCTTGAATCAGTCGGTATAATATTCGACTCGTCTGAAGCTAGCCAAAGATAGTCAATTGGCCCGTTGAAAGAAATGGATATTGTACATCCCCGCCTGTTTCCTTCAGAACAGGTATCCTATACATTTGTAATGGCGGTAACATGGGTGATGAGCTTGTATAGTCTCTTTCTCGAGAACTTTTTTAGCCTCTCCTGGAAGTGGAAGTAAATAATGACTTCCCCTCTGACAGTGTTGAATTCCAGTGAGATCTCGCCATCTTTTAGCGACTGTATGCTCTCACTGATTACCATGGTGTCTTTGTTGAGCAAACTTCCAAAGTCAAGTGACTTGAGCTGCATGGAAATAATGGAAGGGTAGCGCTGCTCATGGCTGCTTGGCGGAGGCTCCTGTCGTGCTCTGAGCACGTCCACATGAACGGTGACTGGCTTTTCATGACCATCTAGAACGAGGTCTGTTGTTCTGCTGTTCCAGAAATTCAATTCTGGCGGTGGTGAGAAGTCGATTCTCGCGACAGCCCCTTTCTCTCCCTGACGCTTGTCGTACATTTCAATCAGCTGGATGCTGCCCTTTGGCGAGAACGATTTCCAAAGCTGCGGCATCGTGATTCCTTCAGGCAGATTTCTCAATCTGAGCGAAATCGATTTCATTTTCGGGGCTGCTTTCGGCGGATTCGATGGGTTGCGTGAGGGGCTTCGTGACTGGTCTCCAGAGAGCTCTGTGCCAGACCATTTTTCAGCGATCTGCTCGGGATAGATATAGTGTGTGGTCATTGGAAGGTTCCTATGTGGGATAGAGAGTCGGATAACTGAGCGTTCAAGTGTACTGTCAAATAAACAGGGAACAGGAGAGGGGAGGAGGGATGATGGAGGAAGGAGGATGGAGAAGGAATGAAGTCATTCCGAGGCGGCGTTTGCAACCGTGCAGCCGCGCGAGTTGCCTTACCTACTTTGCCACAAAGACCAAACAAAATATAAAGACATGCATTAGGTTATATCTGAGAAAACTCCATCTTCGTGCATTTTAGCTTCTACTCCAAAGTATTCTGCTTTCCCGCCTTTCGAATCGGCGTCACAGGCACATCCGCCGTCACCACGTGCGTTTCCTTTGGCATCCACGGCACATCCATAATCTTGCCCGGGTTCAAAATCCATCTCGGGTCCAACGCCTGTTTTATAGTCGCCATGACATCCACCGTCTCCTGACCGACCTCCTTGACGAGGCTCGCCTTTTTGCCCCAACCAATCGAGTGCTCGCCCGTGCACGTACCCTCCATGTTGAGCGCGCGGTTTACCATGTTATCGACGCAGCGCGCCACCTTGTCGCGCTCCTTGGCGTCGCTTTTATTGTACATGATGCTCTCGTGAAAGTTGCCGTCGCCGACGTGGCCGAGTATGCTCGCAAACATGCCCAAGTCGTCCATTTCCTTCTTGCTCACTTCAATCAGGTCAGCGAGGCGGCTGAGCGGTACAGCGACATCGGTGCTCCCTATCATGTTATTAGAAAACATCATCGCTGGGTTAATAAATAGTACCAGCTTCTTACAGACGTCTTGGCCGTCCTTTCGCAGGGCAAGCATCGACCACAGCGACTCTTTCCGCGCAGACCACAGCACCTTTTGCTCCCGCTCGTCCTCGGCAAACGCAAAGTCCGCGCCGCCGTTGCGCGCCGTAATGGCCTGCACGGTGGAAATGTTTTCGGCGACGCTCGCCTGGGAGCCGGAAAACTTGAAAAAGAGTGTCGGCAACTCTTTCCACGTGCGCGGGGCCGTGCTGCCGCTCAGGTTGACGACGCGCATCTGTACGTCGTCCATAATCTCCAGGCAGTTGATGGGCACGCCGGCCTGCATGACGCCCGCTGCAGCGGCCGCTGCGTCGCGAATCGTCGGAAACGAGACGACGCCTACAGAGTACGTCTCGGGGATGACGGCGAGTTTCAGCGTGGCTTGCGTGCGTCAGCGCCCTTGTCTCATGGCGAGCCTAATGAGACTTTATAAGTTCAACATACCTTCAGTGACAATGCCCAGCGTCCCTTCTGAGCCCACAAACAGTCCATTCAGGTTATACCCAGCCGACGACTTGCGCGGCCTCCGCCGCGTCTTGATGATCCGCCCGTCCGCCAGCACCACCGTCAGGTTAATCACCCAGTCCTTCATCGTGCCGTACCGCACCGCGTTAGTGCCCGAGCAGTTAGTCCCGATCATGCCGCCAATCTTGGCCGTCGGGCCGGGGTCCACCGGGAAGAAGAGCCCCGCCTCCGCGTCGGCCAGGTTTCGGTTCAGGTCCTGCCATCCTATGCTGGGCTGCACGACCACGTCCATGTCGTCTTTGTTGAGCTGGAGGATCCGGTCCATGTGGGCAAAGTCGACACTGACGCCGCCGTAGGGCGCGGAAAAGTTGCCCTCCAGGCTTGTACCGCCGGAGTAAGGGATCAGAGGCACGCGGTGCTTGTGGCAGATTCGCGCAATGGTGGCCACGTCCTCGGTGTTGCGTGGGTAGGCGACGGCGACAGGCAGGGTTTCGGGGTTGACTGATGACCATTCAGAGTAGCCGTGCGTCTTGAGCTCTTCGTCATCTGTAGAAATAATTTCTGTATTTCCAATCTCTGCGACAATCTCATCAATCGCCTATTCATTTTCTGTAAGTAATAAATCCGCTGCACAACAGTTTCATAGACTACTAGCCTTGTTCATTTCCGAGAGCGTCGCAAATCGCTTCTCTCCACCAGTAGAACCGGAAAATTCTGAACGCCATTGGCCACTGTTTCCATCAGTCTGCCATCTTGCGACACTCCATCCGACGGCTCCCGTGGCTACCGCAATGCCTAATACTGCGCTGCTGGACCAGACAGAAGCTGACTTGGCCACTGTAGCAGTGGTCGACTGGCACCGGCGGCTGGGTACAGCGAAGCGACGACCAAGGCCAGATCTACACGAAAAACGCAGCATCGTTTTATTTGAAGAACATTGTTGTGCACACAGTAAATCAATCTCTCCGCATCGGATAAGTTGAGCAGAAGTCCGACGTCGGAATTTCTGTTCCGAGACTGAAAGCGGATGCGCCCCCACGTTGCTCCCACGATGCAGTTGCGGGGAAATCGGTTCAAGGCAACGGTAATTAATCAACGCTCGACAACGACGCGCAATTGGATGCGAAAATGTTTTGCTCGAGACGTGAGGACTTGCGAATAGTGGTACGCACTGGTCAACTGGTTGCGATATAGCATCCTATCAATACTCGATGAAACGGCTTGAAGCGTTTACACTAGCACCGTAGGTGCGAGGCACTCACGGAATACAGCATATTGGAAGATTCATGTTTTCTCATATTGCCTATGGCTAGTTTTAAAAAGGACGTGGTATATCGTCCCCCGACCAACAGAAACGTCAAATCCGTGACTCCTGTGCACATGCCATCTTTTTTCCCCTTGCCCCCCCTTACCCAAGCACATCAACATCGTGATGAGCTTAGTTGGCCAGAGCGCGGCGGCGGTCACGCTCCTCAGCAATGGTGAGCTTGACACCCTTGCCCTTGGGAATGGAGATCCAGGGCTTGTCCTGACCAATGACGAAGACGTTGCTCTCACGGGTGGCGAAAGTGTTGTCGATGGCGTCCTTGATGTGGACAATGGCGAAACCGCCGTCGTGGCGCTCGCGGTGGGTGATGACACCGATACGGCCCATATTGCGACCGCCAGTGACCATGGCAATGGCGCCAGTGTCGAACTTGACAAAGTCGGTGATCTTGCCGGTGGCGAGGTCAATCTTGACGGTGTCGTTGACCTTGATGAGAGGGTCGGGGTAGCGGATACTGGATTTACAATGTTAGCAAATACGTGGCGATTGAGGGTCACCATTACAGTTCGTCGGAAAAAGACGATGGGAGGCTTCGGGGGTCGTGGGAGCGGTTCTACGACGAGGTGTCGCTAATTTCCCATGGCCTGTCTGACCCTACGGCAGCAGGCAGACGAGACGACAGTTCTAGGCGCCACCTCAGGATCTTCTTTGCCCCATGACGGGATGCCACTCGTAGCAGTCCCACATGGAGAGAAAATCTTGGTGCATCCAACACCCAACCCCCCCGAAATCAACCAAAGCTTGATCCAACGGCTGAATGATGTCTGACAGAAACTCACGTTCTGGCATCGTGCGTGACCAAGAATGGGATTCCGCCCTTGCCGAGCTGGACGCGCTTGACCTTGCCGAGCTTGTACTCGGCCTCCTCCGCCTGGATGCGGTGGACGGTGAAGCGGCCCTTGGTGTCGTAGATAAGGCGGAAGTTCTCGCCCGTCTTCTCAATCGAGATGACGTCCATGAAGCCCGCCGGGTAGGTCATGTCGGTGCGGACCTTGCCGTCGACCTTGACCAGGCGCTGCATCAGGATCGAGCGCGTCTCGCGGTAGTTGAGCGCATACTTGAGGCGGTTGCGGATGAAGACAATCAGGGGCATGCAGTCGCGCAGCTTGTGAGGACCGGCCGAGGGCTTGGGGGCATAGACGCCGGAAAGCTTGTCCAACAGCCAGTGGGAGGGGGCTGAGAGACGCTTTTGGTGCTTCTTGCTATAAAGTTGGTCAGCATCATGGATCGCGAGATTGTTGCCAGAATTCGTCGAGCGACGGTCTGGCGACGGTTTGTCGTGGTGTTTGGGGGTAGCATTGCGTGACTACAATTGCTAATCCCAACATTGCACTTTCGTTCGGAGCGTCGACTTACATTCCGCGGGCCATTTTGTCGGGTTGGCTGTGTAGTTAGTCGGGATGCAGAGAATCAGAAACTTGAGGCGTGATCCGTTCAATGAGACCAAGGTGTGCTCCGCCGGGAGCACGCACAAATTTTTTCGTCTTCGCTTGGCCTAGCGCAGTCTGGCAGGGGCTTCGTGCCCTAGGCACTAGCACTACGAATAGTGGAGTCTCGGCGCCGGCCGATGAGTCACGTGTAAAATCACGTGTAATGATCGCGATAATTTCCCGTCGCTGGTGGAGCCTCAGTTCCGCGCCATAACTTTTTGAACCACCGGAGTAACCAGACCCAGCGCCCCGCGCCGAGGTTCAATCTCTTTTAGGTAGACGGGTCTGATCGGGTCCCTGGCTACATTCACATGTAAAGCTTCTTACATCAAGATATAGTGCCTGCAGGGCAGGCTACTGTATTGCTCAAACGGATTATCAATCGCTCGCTAACTGGTTTTGATGTGCTGCAGGGTAATGTATGTAAATGCCATCAGCTGCCAAGTGCTCGCATGTGTCTTCTTCCATGCCTCAGAGGCGACTGGCTAGCTGGGTCCGTTTGTTCCCTCGAGACTGCTGTGTCCCGTAGCCCTCTATCATATTGGTATCACTCAAATCAAACCGCCCTATACGCCATAACCCAGTTGATGTCCTAATGTAATCCAAACCCCCAAAAGAAACATTATATGTGATATACACCAGGTGCATTAAATACAAGTGGCGTGTTTTCATTCGTGTTTTCGTGTCCAGTGACTTGTTAGCACCGAAGTGCATATTCGTAGCGGTCGCGACGAGAGTCTAGGCCTGGGGCGGTGGGGGACGAAGGGCCAGACAGCTCGTCATGTCGCCCATGGCCGTGCACCATGCGGGAATCATCCAGAAGAAGTCTGGAAATGTCCATCTCGCCACCCATGAAGTGGTTTGCACCAGCATCTCCAAACTCGAAGCCAGGATGCTGGAGGTACTCTGATTCAACATGGGCAGGCCATCTGGGAGTCTCGTCACGAGAGCCACGACGATTGGCAATGGCAGCTACCTTGGAACGCTTTAACGAGTTGTCGATGGACATGTTGACAGAAGGCTCCATGATATCGTTGCCTCTGGAAGAGTCCTTGGCTTGGAACGTGCCCTTTTCAATACGCTGATAAATAGCAGGGTATTTGTTGCGGACTCTATCGCGCAAATCGGTCGGCTGTCGGGTGGAGAGATGGTAGCGAGGGTCGCGCTGAATCTTGGTCCAGGCAGGGCCGTAGTGGTCCAGGCCCTCGAGAATCTCGTGATCGTCCTGCTCCGTAAAGGGGCGGCGCTCACGACGATGGGACTTTTTGAAGGGGCCATGAATGCCGAGTTCGGCCAAATCACCCATGTTCTTTCGATGAGCACGACTCTTCTTCTGTTTAGATGACTCCTCGAGCTCGGTACAATTCTTGGAGATCTTGGACCGAGACTTCTCGTCACTAATCAAGATATTTTCTGAGTGCAAACCCTTGCGGGAGCTGCTCTTGCTGGTGCTTTCTGAGCGGCGTTCGGACCTCGACGTCTTGCTGGAGCTTCGGAGCTCTTCGGGGCAGCAAGTGCGGAAGCGGTCCTTCAAGTCGCCAGCAGTACGCTCGTTGAATGTAAAGTCGGGGTCTTCCAAAATGTTGGTCCATTTGCCGACGCCGTGGCGGTTCACTCCGAGAAGAAGATGGTTCGTCTCCTCGTCCGTCCACTTGCGTCGGGGCTTCGTGGCGCGCTTGCGGCCCTTGGAAGAACTCTTGTCGGTCTCGGAGGAGCCTCGTCGCTGGGAGCGTTCGTCGGGGCTGCTATGGGTATTGAAGTCGTGCATCATCTTCATCTGGTTGGTATCATTCTCGTAGGTGGTCGAGGAAATGGGTGGGAAGAGAGCGGCGTGAGGTGGAGGTTCGTGGAGGCCATTGATAATGGGCGGCATGACGAGAGCCTGCTGTGTCGCCTTTTGCTTCTTGAGCGGCTGAGGCAGCTGGACAAAGTCGTCCTTGACGTGCATGGTGGCACGGCTGCGCTTCTTGCGGTGGGCTTCATCAGGTCCATCAGGGCTGTCATCGCGGTAGGCACCGTGACCGTGGCGAGAGTCACCCGAGTCGGAATCGTCGAGCAGCAGGCGGATGGGATACGGATGCGAAGCGGCATGACGGCTCGCATCGCGGTCGAGCCTCGGCAGAGGCCTATCGCCATGGGCGTGCAGAGGAAGGGCATGCAAAGGAGGGAGGTCGGCATGAGCGTGATGAGGAGTCGATGTCGACTCATTCAAGAGGTGAATCAGGCGCGGTTCGATGGTAGCCATCGTGGGCAGATAGTCAGGGCAATGTTGCGGTGGGCATTGGTGTCTTTGAGATCAAGAGCCGAGAGGAGGGCACGTTGTGATGCAGGCGGGTGAGGACGAAATTAGAAGACTTTATGGAATCTCAGACAAAGTAGTGTCGTCCCATCCTCGGAGCAAGGATGGATCCATCTGCGACCGATGCACAAGCAAGCGCAAGGCCGAATGGATGGCTTTGCGGTGCAAGTGGTTTGTCTTTGTCGTAGTGACACGTGAAATTGTCACATGGCAGCCGGCGAGCCAGGAGCAGAGCCTCCACTAGGACCCAAACAGCCGTGCTAGGACCAAGCAGCCGTCTTCCAAGTTGCAATCCACCCGAGTGATAGCCACCCACCACCATACCAGCTTTTTTTCCTTCCTGGGCTTATTTCCAAGTTCCAACCTAGCGGGGGTCTAAATCTTGTACGAAAGACGGCAAATCCCCGCTCACTAGACCGTGCTGGGAGCCTGAGGAACTGGGGCCGGCGCCAACCCTACTCTCCGTGTCTCCGTCGTCACCTCAGCGCACGAGGCGCAGGACCCCTTTTGCCCATAGGACAGCCCTGTAATCAAGGTGGGAAGCGGCTGTTATACCAGTCCCGTCTGTCCGGCGCGGGTGCCACATGCAATCACTGTACGACTCTGTCAATTGCTCTACCAGACTAACTACCACACGGGAGGCAAAAGCTTCTGACACACGCCTGGGCTGCCTGACAAGCTGACTTTGCGCCCACGTCGTACGTTCGTACCGGGTTTAACCATTTTACGCTTTTGTTGCCCGAACCCAGCGAATTGTGGATCGCGGCTCGGAGTCACAAGCTTCAGACGTTGACTGGCAGTTGGTCGATAAGCTACCCAGTTGCGAGCTGCAGTCATCTGGCAGCTTGTTGCCGGTGGCGTCATTTATTGTTGATCTCGGTAGAGTGTTGAGGCTGAGGGTGCGATAAGAGGCACAATGGCTTCGAAACTGCCTACGATCCCACGGGTGACGTTTACCATAATCGAACCGATTTCCTTGTGAGTCGACACAGGGCCAAGGCCAAAGCAACACCAAGAAAACTAACCTCAACCCGGCCATGCGCAGAGTCGCTGGCTTCATCGGCGCTATCTGGGACCCAGCATGGTTCATCGCCGAGCAATTGCCTGACAAGCAGGTGCTTCCTGCATCGGAGCATAGCATTGTTATGGCGCAGCAGCTAGGCAACATGTATCTTCTCATGTGCTTTGTCGGACTGGCTGTTCTTGCGACAAGTTCCGAGATCAAGGTGGTCAGAAGCTATCTCGTCGCGCTATGGCTCGGCGACATTGGCCACCTTGCTTTCACATGCTTGGCGCTGGGCAAGGAGAGGGTGATGCAGCCACATATGTGGAACGCGATGACTTGGGGCAATATTGGATTTACAGTAAGCAAATTCACTATGATCAGAGTCGAGGGCTTGTAAGAACGGGTTCGGCTGACTGAGTCGGGGGCGCCGGGGGCGCTCCACTAAAGACGTTTGTTTTCGTGATGCGGTCCGCCTATCTTGCAGGTGTTTTTGAAAGGGGGGCAAGGGGAGACGCAGCGTTGAAGGCGAAGAGCAGCAAGACGGCATAGACGTCAAATCCGGCAACTGGTCCGGGCTCCGTCGGTGAGGTGGATCGGCAGGGAATCAACGACAAGTTGACAACATCCGAGCAATAGTGAATCTGGTCGCCAAGGTCGAGGCGGCCTCATCAGCTCGAGCTGTGGTTGGTCTGGATCGTCCGATGGTCTATTCCGCTTCGGCGCCGGTGCCGCAGCATACTTGATGAGAGCAGACCATTATTTTCACAACCAGACTTGCATATTGCCGATGATTGCCTGACGACGCGGGATAACAACGCCACCACTGTCGTGTTCCTCTGGCCCGTATCAGCTAGCGTGGCGGGTGATGATGGGTGGCGAAAACAAAACGGTTCCGACAGCTGCTATCTTGCATCGGATGCAGCCAGACCTTGTGACTGGCACGAATTTTGCAGGTGAATATAGATGATGATAATGTGTCGAGGTCAAGGTGTACATGGACGTGCTAGCTGATTCGAAAGATGCGCCCGGGGTGTTAAGGTGTCTTGGTGGGGGAGTTCAGAGTCGGTACGTACCGAATTGATTCCACTTACTTGCACAATTTGGTGTGCCATCCTTTGTGACACACCAGCGTTCGATGTTGATCCAATACAATACAATTATATGATTCAATACAGACATTAGAAAGAGCAGCTGGCGCAGAAAGCTAGAAAGCAAGAAAGTTAGAAAGGTAGAAAGCTCTACATAGATGTGAAGGTGTAGTTTCAAATCAAGTCTATTCAGGGAGAAGAAGGAAAAGAAGCGGAAAAAAAAAGTAAAAGAAGCAAGAAAAAAAGTAAAAATAAGCAGGGGAACAAAGGAAAAGGAAAAGGAAACACACTTCCTGTTTGGCGCCATCCATCTCTTTCGGTAACCTCCCGTATCGGCGTGATACACAGTTAAGCAGGAGTGCGCGGGTGACGTAGAGGGTTTTCGACAATGAGAATAATGCACGTCGAGAATAAAATCGCTTCCATCCATCTTCGGAATCTGTTCGTATGAGGGGTAGGGGTAGGGGTAGGGGCTACCTTGCCTTGAGGGTGAGGTTTTGGCCCTTGCCTTGTCCCAAATTCCTAACCCTCAACCTTAACCCGGAATCGTGAAAATGCCCCACCCAAACTCGCACTATTTTTGCCTCGACATAACCCAGTGCCTTGATGCTGATGCAGCTTTTATCCTCTGGTTTTGCAGAGCAGAGCCATGTTTCTTTAATCACTGTCTCAGTATACACCCTTTGTATTGCAATCTATTCCTCAGTCACAGTATTACCCGAAAATCTACCTCTTTTCGCCCAGATTCTTCTCATTGTGGCACAACAGTTCACTCCCCCAACGCTCCTGCATCCCATAACAACTTTTGTTGTTTTTTCCTACTTCATCATTATCGCCATCCGCATCTATTCGCGCCATCGATCAAATACCTTGACCAATCTCTGCCAACATGCCTCCTAAGCGTGGAACTAGAGCAACACGTGCATTCACCGCGACCGAGCCAATGCCAACGCGAAGCACCCGAAGTCAGTCTCGACAAGCGGGACCCGTCAAATATCGTTCTTCCCTCGTCGCGGATCCCATCGCGCGCAAAGGCGCCCCGCGCGGCGTCTCTGCTAGTGAAGCCGAGATTCCCACGAGCCCTAGGCGCAATGAAGACTCCGACGATGACGTTGAGGTCGGCGCTGAAAATGGCCAATTACATGTCGTTGCTCAAGTCTCTGAAGAGGACCTTGAGTTCATGTGCCAGTGCGTTTACAAGCTAGGCAGCACGGCCGAGATTATCCTCTCTCACTATAGAGTCTTTGGCGATAAGGATAAGCTCGCGCGCCGGGCTTTTATAATGGATATCGATAATTTCGCATCTGTGCGCAAACAGTTTCTCGTGGACGAGGGATATGCTCCCTATTTGCACTGGGCCTGGGCTACTACGCCATTGACCAACGATGAGCTCGATGCCTTGAAAGTAGCCGTGATCCTGGCTAATCTCGCCACACTGCTAGAAACTATCTGGGAGGGCGCCTGGAAGAACTTGGACGAAGCTGGCAGCCCTAATGTGGAGAAGTTGAGGATCATCGATGAAGAGTTTCAAGATCTTATTACCGGTGGTTTTGGCTTTCCAATCAATGTTACTGAGGCCGTGTTGAAACTGGCACTTGAAGTTCGCGTCGCGCACGTACTGGCTGCGCTTACCAAGGCTGACAAGAACAGTGATGCGCGTAAAATCATGTACGACATCTTTTGCGATCATCGCAAAGATCCGACCTCCGCGCAAATCAACGCGACCTTGGAGAACGGACCGTACAAGCGCTTTGCCAGCATCGACACCCAGGAGCTGGATAGTCTATGTCGCGAACATATTGCCGTCTTCAGCAAGCACATTGGCAAAAACAATGTAACCTTTTCTAATCTGCCCACGCTTCGCAAGCAGTACCCTGCTAAAAGCCTGCTGGCTACCATACAAACCGTCTTTCGAGATTTTGGGGAGCCAATTGACGCTTCGCGCGGCATCTGGAAGCAACTCGAGCATCGCGACCAAAGCCCAAACGAGTTTTTCGACGCTGCCAGTGGAGGAGAAGATGATATCAGCTCCGACGAAGACGAGTCGCAGCCCATTGTGCGCGCCTCGAACACGGAAGTCGGCCGCAGTCTGTTTCGCGATCAAGCCGACGCCGAGGCTCTCGAGCGCGTCCAAGTCACCGCCAGCGGGGGCATCTTTGCCGTCGATCACGGCGCGGCGCCGTTCCCGTCCGCTTTATCCCATCGTCCTGCGGACAGAGTATCGTCGACACCAGCTAATCACCATCAGCGCAGCAAGCGCACGCACGACCAAGCCACCACCGGCGACGACGATGGTGATGACGACGACGTATTTGAGACGGATACGCGAACCATCAGCGAAGCCGTTCATCTCAAAAGGCGTCTGACTACAAAGGCAGACGCTACGCGCGTGGACCGAGAAATCCGCCGGCAGCAGCAGCAGCAGCAAGAGCATTCGCCGTTTTTCCCCTCTTCTTCTCTCAGCACATCCACCACGGCCGTCGGTGGTTCTACACAGGTCGACAAGCACGCCCGCCAAGCCAACTCTGTCGTGCCCAGAAACGACGCGCGCGGCACCACCACTACTACCACTACAGTTGCCCTTGCCGACGGCGACGCATCCTCTGTGCCTCGCCCTCGTCCCTCCATGCACAACGGGCGAGTTCGCTGGAGCCAGCACGACGACGAGGCGCTCCTCGCCAGCATCGCCAAGCACTATGCCAAGTGGGCTGATATTGAATGCCAGGCAAAACACTTGTTTGAGCATCCCCGCGACCAGCAGGCCTACCGCGACCGCGCGCGCAACCTCAAGGTCAAGTACATACTCAATGACGAGCCCCTGCCCTATGGATTCGACTGGGTCACGCTCGGGCCAAAGGAAAAGGAACGGCTGCTGAAGCACGGCAAGAATTATGAGCGCATGGAGGCGGACATTGACAAGAACACCGGCAGGCCGACCAACACGGAATATATACCGGTCCAGGTTCGTGACACGCCGGGGTCTGAGTGAGTGAAGCGTCAAGCCCGACAGGTGAGGGGCGGTTGGCAGAATGGCAAGGGGCTCGTGTAGTTGGGACGGGAGGAAAGTAAGGTTCATGGTTTTATCTGGTTACGAAGCAATGTGAATGGGCGCATCTCGAGGAGAAAGGTCAGGGGAGTTTATCATGTTGTTATTGCGGCGATGGTGATTTATTCATTATTTTGGCTAGGGTCTTGGAGTTTTTTTCTCGGCCTACTCTGCTTTTTCAACCATCTTACTACGGGTTTTCTTTACATGTCAAAAGGTAAGCATATGTTGTTAGCGCACATGTTCCGCAAGGACTCGCTCGGCATGAAAAAGAACGCACATTACGGTTCAGCGTATTGATGTCAGACATGTTGATTGTATATTTGCACTACTTTAATCTGCCCCGTCCAATGTACGGCTCCAAACTATCTTCCACCCTGTCAAAAACAAGACTAGACAAACAAAATATAACACAGGTGCATGTTGCAGAGACAACTTCCATCGCGAAATATTCCAGCGCTCAAAGTAAAATAGAAAGAAATATAACGGCAAGGGTCAAAAGTGTAAACGTGCTTAATGAGACGTCAAGAGGCCATCAGTGGACAAGTTCGTTAGGTAAATCCTGATACAATGGGTATAGAGGATTTGCAAATGAAGCAAAAAAAAAAAGAAAAGAAACAAGAAAGAAGAAAATTTCAAGGTAACGTGTCGCATGACGCAGCGCAGCAGAGCGCCGCAGCGGTTAAATGCAAAAGAGTATACTCGGACCCATCCCAGCGCATGGTCGAAGGTTCCGAGAAAGAAGAGAAGAAAGATCGGATATCAGGACGGAGATGCGGATTCGTCGCATGGTATTTTGTGCAGTGTTGTGATCATGGTATAAACTTGATGAGCAAAGGCAAATCAGCGTCGTAGATGAAGGTCCCCTAGCGACGACGGTACGAGTTTTCGCGGTGTTTGAGCTTGTTTGTTCGCCAGCCTTCATACCACTGCTCCTTGCTAGCCTCGCGCAAGTCGTTGCGCCACTCGCTGAAAACGGCCTCCTTGAGCCGCTGAAAATCGCAGTGCGTCTCGTTGTAGGGATCGGCAAAGCCCCAGGGAAACTGGCGGCCGACGACGCTGGGCTCGTACAAATCAGGGCTGATGGTAGAAAGAGGTAAAAATGGTAGCTCCTCTTCCTTGTTTTCCTGAGAAGCCTTGTGACGAATCATGGTTTGCGACGAGACTCGCTTGCCGGGGGAACGCTTGACCGGGCTCAAGCCGGGCGGCGTGTCAGAGTCGCCGCTCATGTCCTGGGGTAGGGTATCCGAGTCGGCCTCAATATCCTCATCTTCTTCGTTAATAACGCTGCTGAATTCGTCTTCGAGACCAAGAGTTTCGAGCGGGTCGAGATTATTTAGGCGAATGCTGTCCCAAACGGCGCGTTTGAGGACGTTCATGTGCTTTGTGGGAATGGTGTCGGCTTTGCCAACGACGGGAATCACGGTCGTCTTCCTATGGAGCGAGCGCAAGACCTGGAGACCCATGTCATAGTCAAGAGCGCCCGTGACTTTGGTATTGCTGGAGCGAAAGCCATTTTGATTGTCATCGGGCTGCATCTGCATCTTGCGCGCGTTGGCAATGTTGCGGTCGATGTGAGCAGGATCGAGCATGAGAAAGACGGCGTGAATGTGGGTGTCCTGCACACCAGGCGAGCGCACCACTTTCATCTCTTCAGCAAAGGTTTGGTCAAATTTGCTTTCGATAAAGGCCGACATTTCTCTGAGCTGGAGATCGACGACATTCTTCTCGAGGCCTTCGGAATCCCAAATAGTCAGGCCAATGCTCTCGCCATCGATTTCCGTCTCGAGGTAGTGAGGAACAAAGTTGCCCTCGGCAGGCAGCGGTGCCTGATACTCTGGCTGCTCCTGTTTCCTGGGACGGCGTCTAGGAGGCAAAGCGAGGGCGGTTTTGAGGAATTCGAGAAAAGAGGTTTTTCCCGAGTCTTTAGCGCCAATGACGAGAACACTGGCAGACGAGTCAGCGGCGAGAGCCATGATGAAGAACACGAGACTTGGTTGGCACAAAGTGGCATGGTGAGACAGGCAGCGGCAAGCGCGAAGATGAAGGAAGGCGAGACTCCATTGACACAGAGAGAGAGCGGCAGAGCCACTGGACGGGGTGAAGCACACCAACGTGTTTAAAATCAGTAACTTACTTGAAAGGGGTAGGATCCTTGCGACGGCGCACCCTTCTAGGGCTGTTGATGGTGCTGATGGCACTGCTGGCGTAGCTGTACCTGCCTCGGTGCGTCATGCTCTCGGTGGCTGCGTAGGGATCGAAGGGCGGCGGCTGAACAGGATGATGAGTCGCTGGGATGGGGGGCGGGGCAGCGTTGTTGGTGTAGCTGCGAGAGTTGGCGATGCTGCCCGAGGAGTCGTAGCGTCCGGCGTTGAAGTGACTGGGCCCGTTGTAGGGCGCCTGAGGGCCGTTGGAGGAGAATTGGGCGGGATCGAGACGCAACTGGGTGCTAAGTGACTTTGAGAGCTGCTGGTCGGCGGTGTTGGCAAGGTCGGGAAGGCGAGGCGGGCGGCGCTGGCGCTGGCGCTCGAGCTCGGCTTCGCGAGCAGCCTGAGCCTTCTTGCCTATGTCGCCGCTCTTGGAGCGCCGCAGGAGGCTGCCGAAGCTGGGACGCCGAGAGGCGGGAGGCGAAGCGGGAGGCTCCATGGCGAGAGTAAGGAGGGGAAGGAGGCTAAGCGAGGCGTGAAGCTATTGCCAAAATGGGCCGTTTGTCGGGGTAGGTGAGGCGGTTTGATGTATATCTAGGTAGGTAGGAGGGAGAGTGTCGTGCGAGCAGCGGCAGCTATTGGATGAATGCAAAGGTAACGGCTAAGGGCAACGGATCAAACGAGGGCGCATAGGAGGGTGGAGGAGAAAAAAAAGAGTGTAAAAGACCCCTCAATGGCCAATGTATAATTTCTTTTGCTGATATCGGTAACAGCAAACGCAGGTCAACGGCGTCGTGGCGCAAGAGGGAGAGATCAAGCCACAAGACGGGTGGCTAGCGATGTACAAGGTGAGGCTAGGCAGGTTGTCGGGTTCAGTCGAGGTGACGTAGATATGGGGAGACTGGCGGCGACGGCGGCGACAAACGGCCAGCAAGAAGAGGAATGGGCGATGGGAAGATGGAAGATAAGAGGGAGAGAAAAGGAAGAAATGTACGCAAAAGAAGACTAGGACGAAATATCCGCAGACAAAAGGAGGCGGCACGAGTTTGGATAAACTGACGCTACCAGGTGCGAGTACCCAGCCGGGCACAGGCTGTGCGACTACGACGGGGACAGTCTGGGCTGGTAGAGTGGGAGGGGAGACCCCTGGCACTGAGTGGCGGGCGGCTTGGGGCCTTGGAGCCTGTTGGAGGGGAGGACAGGAGGGGAGGGAGGGGACTGAGCCTGGCCACTATGGAGGGCTAAAGACGAGCCTTGTCCGAGTTGAGAATCTAACTAGGTAGGTAGCTTCGGCAGCTGTGTACGCGGCATGGGATACAGATGGCTCATCAGCCAACGTTGGTTGGGTACCTACCTTAGGCAGTTTGAGGCATGGTGCAGCTTTGCAGTGGTACTTGTGCGAACAACGGCACTCGTGGCGCCGGCCCAAGGTGTGGACGTGCGCGATCGAAGAAAGCATAATAGTTGGGCAGAGTGATTAAGCAAGACGGTTCGACGCTCCTTTACTTTTGTACAACCACGAGAAGAATTTCCCGATTTTTATTCCTGTTAGCTTGTTGACTATAGTTGTTGCGCCGCAACTGGTCCGCCACTCATCTGCAATCTCTCACCACCCTGCCTCAATCATTCCCTCGTTGTTCTCAAGTTCAAACTCCCTCGCTACTCCGAATCTCGAGTTGTCAATACTGCAGTGCAGGGGCCCCAAGCAAACCATCCCATGCTTCAACACGCGCCGAGAGATTTCGTACGGGGCGACAGTGGGCTTTGCACCCCTCGTCCACGTTCGCTTGCGCCCCCAGGTGCTTGATTTGCAGGGAGGCAGCTGCTACAAAAATCCACTCAGCCTCCACTGAAATAGCCCGCTGTGGGCGGCGGTTGTAGATCGGTACCCAAGTATGGTGAATTGAGAATTTTCCACCAGCGAATGAAGAGAACTTGAAGCGATTGATGATTATTGCATCCAAGTTTGAGTTTGGATATCGTTCATGTGCTTATTAGTAGATGGCAAGTGCACTTCCCTCCACCCTTCCCCATTACCCTCCTTCGACTCCAACCCAGCGAGTCAACCCTATCCGTACACTGAATCATTGCACAACTTAATTGTCGAGTCTCTCCCAAAGCCCTTCCTTGGCGAACCCATCTCTTTTGATTCTTGTCCCTCTCTACCCCCCCAAACTTGGCGCTAACTACCTTATCCCCTGTTGGCTTCTTTCAGCCAATGCGTCGACGATGCAGACTGCAGCCAAAGGAAAACTCTGGAAGAAAATTGCAAGTTCCAGTGTGAGAGCGGCCGCAAGCCGTTCATTGTGCAGAAACGAAACGCCTGGTCTTGATACGGCAATTGCTCCACTGCTTGGCTGAGCCAATCGCGCTGGCTTCTGGCTGAGTCCAATGTCGCGCATAACGACGTAGTGGAGGGAAAGAGATGAACAGGGGCTGCATTGCGACACACCTCAAGACAATTGGGCAAAAATAAATGCTCTTCTTTTTTCAATTTAGGGTTTCTCTTGGCTCGGCATTGATCTGGACTTCATCATGCCACAAACGTACGGTCTGTATTACTCAGTAATTACAACTCTCAGTAACCTCCAAATTTTTTGGGTGAGTACTTTTGATTTGTAGACAGCTACTCATTAACCGAGCCAATGAGCGATATCCCAGTCCGAGACACGGCGCTTCGATTCACCTATTTTTGGGCCGCCTCATGCTCGTCAGAAAAAGAAGGCAAGAAGAAGAAGAATAAGAAGAGAAGAAGAAAAAAAAACCACGTTGAACGCATGCCTGCACCCGGCACGTCCGGTTACCGAAAGAGAGATGCGCCTGCGCCTGCGCCCTGCATCGGATTGAAAAAAGGAAAATGTGGCTTTTCCGTTTCATTTACATCAAACATTCTTCTTTCGCGAATGAAGTCTCAAATAACTGGTAGTTGCATGAATGCCACGACATCTCGCATTGGCGCCCCCTCTCCCTCCCCCCTCTCTTTGCTCCTCTTATGCAACCTTGTCAATCTCAAAACAACGGGAGCCTGGGGGCCCATGTCACCCGAGAGGAAAATAATTGGGCACGATGCAAACGAGACGACTTGATAAGTTGATTCCAGAATACCAGTTGATCCTTGCAAAATCTGATGAGAGCGCTAAATAGAAAAAGAAACAAAACCTCCTCACACTTTAAAAAAGCCATCGCGACGTCTTTCCTTTTCCGCCACAGCGGGAGGATCCGCACTCACTGATCATCCCATCAATCCCCCATCGCAAAAACAGCTGTTTCCTACCTATTATCCCTCCTTACTAGCAAAGAACCCCCCCCCCCCCCTTGCAAGCTTGCGGCAGGCTACTGCAGGGACCAAATGTGAATGGCACGCTGCCCTTTGACAAGGGCGAGGGCATTGTCGGCACGACGACGCAGCGAAGCAGTGTCACGCGCTCGTCAGCCAAGTTGCCGCAAACAAAGAGGAGGAAGAGAGAGAGAAATAATAAGCCTGAAAAAAAAAAAAAAAAAAAGGTTCCTGCTGGCAGGGCCTCGTCAGCCCCGAGCAGGAAATCGCCCGACCAGTAGCATCGCATCGTCCCGTATCACCGTGCGTACCTGCATACCTATTAGGCTACTAACCATGATGTGGACCACACCACCACCACCACCCAGATACAGACCATCATTACACAATTACGTAGTATTACACCAGCTACGGAGTATTGGAGCTAGCGTCGGCGGCTACCCACCTGTTCTGTTGCCGGTAGTCCTGAAGCGCATTTGCCGTCGCCTCACGTCTAATCCTGGAGGTGGAACATGCTTCCATCCCTTATCCCAGGTGCTGTAAGGCTCTCGAACATGCACACGAATCATGAGCTTATACGTGCCATGTTCATCATCTATATGATATTGGAGAGTGTATGTTCTTTCTGGCCCCCCCCCTCTATGCAAATAAAAAAAAAAATGAAAGCCGAGATGGTCTAGTCTAGTACATGTACAATGCCTCCCCAAAAACTCCATGTATAAAAAGCAGCACGTCTTTCCTCCACATCCACGAACATGTATAAAAAATGATCAGATCAAGCAGACACAACACAAGAATGTACGGTCAGCCTCAACTAGCCGCTAAAGACGTCGTTTTGCAGTTCAATCCCCATGTCCTGCGCCATGTCCTTCATCCGCTGCTCCATGACGTCCTCCATGTTGCCCCCGAGCCCCAGCCACTGCCGCACCTTGAACACGTAAAAGGCCACGTCCGACGCCGTCATGACCACCTTGAACAGGACGTGCCGCCAGGCGTTGCGCACACGCGCCCGCCACCCCAGGCTCGTGTCCCGGAACAGGCTCCTGCTCGCCCACTCGCCCATCATCTTGATGCGGTTCACCGGCGACCCCATGTACTGGTTATTCGACTGCACGATGCGCATGTTGCGTCCGATAAACAGCAGCTCCTTGGGCCACTTTTCCTCGTCCGCGAGCATGTCCCGCAGCCCTTGCTTCATCTTTTGCTCCATCGCGTGGTGCCGCTCCGCCGCCGTCTTGCCCTCCATGTCCTTGCTGAGCAGCGCCTCGCGCGTCGACTGGCTGCCGCCCTCGTACGGTCGCATCAGCGTCGCACTGGCAAAAAAGTCTGCGCTCTTGATGCCCCACTGCGACGTCACCCGCTCAATCGTCGCATTGTCAAACGTCATGAGCGCCTTCCAAAATTCGGCGTACTGGTTGCGAAACGTCGGCGACATGTACACGTACAGACCGTGGTCGATGAGCACCACCTCGGCCCGCCCGCTCGGCAGCCGCCGAACAAAGACGTTGCCAGGGTGCGGGTCGCAGTGTACCACGCCCCATTGGAATATTTGCGCCGCAAACAGGTCAGTCACCGTCGCCATGACCTCCTTGGTCGACAGTCCCAGGCCGCCTTGGCCCCGCGGGCCCTTCCATTCCTGCCGCTCCGGCTTGAGCCGGTCCTGGTTCGGCTGCGTCCGTACCTCGCGCCGGATGGCGTCCATGTCGACGTCGGGCAGTGGCGCGCGCGCTCCAGGCGTGCCCTTTCCTCGGCCGCCCATCCACCGGCCCGTCATCGCCTTCTTGTCCCAGAGCTGTACGCCCTCGATCCACTCGGCCGTCATGACGCGGCGCGAGGTAAGCTCCGGGTACGTGATGGGTATGTAGACACGGCCGCGCATGCTCTTTTCGTTGTAAATGAGATTGCGCATCGTTTCCGAATTTTCGGCTTCGTTGACGAAATCGGTCTCCAGTTCGAGACGTTCGGCCACGTACGGAATCAGGCTGTAGAAGGGAATGTCGAACCATTTCGAGTAGATCCAGGCCACACTCCTATGAATCGTTAGCATGTTTGTCGTTTCAGTCCCTGCCTAGAAGAAGACGTACTTGAATGCCCATAGATCCCATGAAATCTGCTTGGCAATATCCCGCTTCTGGACCTTGATCGCCACTTCTCGTCCATCTGGCAACCTCGCCCAGTGCACCTGCGCCACACTCGCGCTGGCGCGCGCCTTTTTCTCCATGACACCGTACCCGGGTTTCCCCGTGAAGCTGACCCCAAAGACCTCCTCGACGCTCTTGCCAAAATCCGCACGAATGACAGCCTCGACGTCATGCCAGTCGTCCTGAGGAGCGTCGTCAAACATGCGGGCAAACATTTTCTGAAACGCCGGTGGCAGCATGGCGCTCTGCATGGCAATAGCCTGGCCCATTTTGAGGTACAGCCCGCCGTTCTCGCGCAGCAGCGTGGCCATGCGCTCCGCGCTGCGGTGGTGCAGGTCCGCCACGGAGCCGCCGAACCAAGGCTCCGCCCGGAAATTGATGTTGTAGTCGAGCGCGACGAGCAGCGTGGTGCCAAAGGTGCGCGCCGTGCGCGTCAAGCCGGCCGCATACACCTGGTTGTCGATGGCGTAGACGCCGCCCAGCACCGCTGCTGTCCAAAGGAAGCGCCTCGTCCACTTGCGGCCACGCTTGTACTGCTTGGCGGCTTGCGGACGGCCGAGCTCCTGCGGTGATGGAGGCCGCATCGGCTGGAAGGGCCCGCCGGTATGGGCGCTGCGTCGCGCGAGCCATTGTCCGCCACTGGTGGTTGAGGACGGGAGGCGAGGCACGCGACAGCGGCTGGTAGCTGCTCGCCCCAGTATGCGGCTCTGTAGCATCCTGTGGAAGGATGTGAGTGTGTGAGTGTCGATGTTTGTTTACGGCGTAGACATGAGGGGGAGGCCTTGTGGGAATGGCGGACTGAGGTTGTCAGGCTTATTATGGTCGGGGATCTATCTCGGAGAAAGCCTTGAGAAGTGGACGCCAGCGGCTTTTTGCGGAGACGGGAATTCACCGCAAGGCCGAGTCCGAACTCAACCAGCCTCGGGGAAAGAAAAAGCTATCGTCCGATACGTAAATGGACACTCGATGACGTGAAACACGATTTAAATACAATTATCCAGCGCTCAAAAGGGAGTTTCCCGCTTGAATACGGACGTTTAAAGATGAGAATCTCTGTGTCGATGATGTCGGGTAGCTGTCGTTTGGCGGAGATCTGGGTGGGACGCCACAACGCGTCGATGGGAGCTTCCGTGCCTCCACGTTTGCATCGCGCGTCTGCGTCATCAGAGCGGGACAATTGCCCCGAAACAAGATCAAACGACTTCTCTAAAGGGACCTTCGCAAATATAGTGTGCTTAGTGGTAGGAAACTCTCACAAGATTTTCTAACATGATAAGCTAACTTTATAAGGAGAGACAAAGGAAAATTCTCCGTTATTCCTCGTACAGACAATATTTTACGGGCAGCTCAAGTCGAAGCCTAGCCCTTTCTTTCCCTTCAACGACCCGTCCTGATATTACGGACAAACTCCATCAATGCGCCCGGCCGGCAAGCAAAGCCAGCTGCGACAGCCAAGTTGGATGCTGAAAGACATCCTCGGTGTTCATGAGATACCCCTGGCTTGCAACATGGGCAGCAAGGACGCCAGCACCAATCAAGTCACCTCCCAGATCGAAAAACGTCTCTGGCGACTCCAGATCCAGCTCAACACCATCTCCAAGCACGCTTTTCCAAGCCGCGCGCAGAGCTTCCGTCTTGGCAGGTGGGCAGCTCTCCGCCAGTAATGTCTTGGCCTCGATGCCATTGACATGGACGGGCTTTGAGAGTATAGGCAGCGAGCAACTCAGAGGAGGCAGCTCCTGCAGAGAATGCAGAGGCGCAACCAGTCCATTGTAAAACTGCAGAATAGTTTCCTGCAGGTCCGCTGCCAATTGATGAGCAACATCGGCGGGAACCACGTTCGCCGCGAAGCAGATCTCGACATCAATATTGTCATTGCTCGAAACAGCAATGATGTGGACCTCGACATCGTCAATATCAACCGGAGCTGCGCTCGAGCCTAGAGACTCGAAAATGTGCATGCGACTCGCCCTGTTCTCGTCGTCACTGTAGCTATTGTGGCGAATCACGGTGCCATAGTAGGCATTTTGCGACCAGTCCGTGCAGCTGCGCACAATTTCGCGAGAGCCAAGCTGAGTATACGGAATGCTGGCCACTCTTTGAGCATGGACGGCGCCGAGGAGATCCTGTACCCGCCAGTCATCTTTAAGTGTGACACGCAGCGGCACAACATTCACGCATGGTCCGCAGACACCCTCGCTAAGAGCTTGGTCTCGCCCGTGCGCCAAAATCCCGAGCACCACATCGTCAATCTGTGATCTTTTGGCAAGCACATAAGCCCAAGCAGCGCTAAGCACGGTGGAAAATGTGAAATCCAATGAACGGAGTTGGCTTTGCGGAATGGAGTTCGTCACCGAAATCCCCGCATCGTGCTTGATATCGTGGGAGATGCTTTCGTTTAGCTTCGTCACGGAGCATCCTTGTAGCAACTCACGCCAGTAAGTCACTGCTTGCGGTTTGTCAAGCCTGGAAATGGACTCTATGTGCGCAGTGAAGCTCGAAACAGGCTCTGAGCTGGCCTTGATTCCATCCTTGCAAACGTCCTCGAAAGTTGACCAGATTTGACCTAAGCTGATGGCATCAAATTGCGCGTGAGACAGACGCAATATCACTCTGTACATGTGCTGCTGCTCAGAGTAAATGATGTAGAACTTGGTAAGCGGTACACCAAGGCCCAGCGCCTTGGACGACTCGCGACGAAGCAGGGCCGTCATGCACGTTTCAACATCCTCGCCCTGCTCTGCCACGATGGTGGGCGCCTCCAGGCTCATGGAGCGAAGAACAACTTGCAAGAAGGAGTCGCCCTCCACGATGAAGACGGTGCGCAGAATGTCGAACCGTGACACCAGAACCGAGCACGCCTTGATCATGCTCAACAAGTCGACGTCGGTGGAGCAATCGAAGGCGTGGTAAAACAGCATGCTTCGGGACGCAGAGTACGTCATGGAGAGACTACGCGCCTGCTCGTCCGTGACGGGGGAAATATACTGCGCCTGTTCATCGCGGGAGCTCCATTTCTGTAGAACAGTTTCAAGACGCTCATTGGATATCTTGGATGGCAGCAACTGGAGGGGTGCTTTCGGCGCACTCTCGGCGGGCTCATAATCTTCAATGCGACGCAGCCTCTGTGAAGTGTCGGATAACTTTGGATGGAGGAGCACGTCGGCGACAGTCAGACTGTAGCCACGCTGTCGCGCAGCCCCGACCAGCCTCATCGCACTGATGGAGTCGCCACCGACACGCATGAAGCTGTCGTCGGCGCCGATGCTCTCCTTGCTGATGTCCAGCACCGCGGCCCAGAGCTTTTGCATCAGACGCTCGGCGTCTGTGCTGGGCGAGCGCTTCTCGATTTGGTAAATGTTGGCGGCGGTGAGCTCTTGCAGCGTGAGCGCTTCCACCTTGGCGCGCAGGCTCTTACGGTCCAGCTTGCCAGTCGCTGTCTGCGGGAAGCCAGTGACGGGGAAGAACGTTGTGATGGTCACGCTCGTGGGGAGATACTGGATTAGGACGTCCTCCAAGCCGGCTTGGAGCTTTTGCGTAAGCTCATGGACTGGTGTTGTTGTAGAGTCCAAGAAGGCCACGAGGACGGGCTTGTGGCTTTGGAAGGGCTTCACGAGCTCGACCACGACACCAGTCTCGCCGCCGGTGCTGGCGAGATACTCTTGTATAACGTGTTCAACCCCACCCAGCTCGAGACGCTGTCCGTTGATCTTGACTTGCGTGTCCCGACGGCCGACATATATGATGCTGCCGTCATGATGGTAGCGAACCAAATCGCCCGTTTTATACAGGCGACCCCGGCGGCCAGTGTAGTTGAGCCCGCCCCGTACCAGCCAGGCAGGATCCTCGATGAAGGCTGCGGCAGTTTTCTCGGGCTCGTTCAGATAACCCGGACCTACCAAGGGACCCTCGAGCAACAACTCGCCAACGCAACCGATGGGCACGAGTGAGCTTGAAGTCTCTGCATCAACGATCCAGGTGCAGAGACCAACGCCCTTTCCGATGCTGTCTTTGACTATAGCCTGGGAGTCGATGCTCAAAATCGTGGCCGTCGCCGTGCACTCGCTGGGACCGTACATGTTGCGCACGTTCTTGACCAACTTTGCCCACCTCTGCGCATCCACAGGCCGGAGCTGCTCCCCGCCGAGCGTCATTGTATGCAGCTTGCGCAGGGCGCTCTCTGGTAGCAAGCCGGCGGCCGTCGGCGTCATGTCAACATGCGTGATTTGATATCGCTTCATTGACTCGGCTACGTCGTTGCAGCGCTCGTCGTCAGAAGGCACACAGAGGCAGGCCCCGCCGACCAGGGAAAGCAGGAGATTGAGCCAGGCTGCGTCGAAAGCATACGATGAGAAATCATAGACCCGAGCAGAGTTGTCGTAGCCAAAGTAGCCGTGCTGGTGGAGGATTGTGCTGCTAAAGTTGGAATGGGTGACAATGACACCCTTGGGGGTTCCGGTAGTTCCAGACGTGAACAGCAAAAAGAGCGGGCAGTGAGGTGCGACTATTGGCAACTTGGCATCGTCCTGGGTTGCAAGTTGGCTGATCTGCGTCTCGCCTACTGCAATGACAGCAGTTCCAGGAGGCTCTGCCAGTCTCTTGGCAAGTTCTTGGCAGCCGGACGATGCGAGCATCAACTGTGGCTGGACTTGTTGAACAATCGTGGCCAATCGTTCTTCTGACTGAGCTGGGTCCAATGCTGCCGATGCGCCGCCAGCCTTCATCACCGCCAGCATCGCCACTGATGCCCACCTAGACTTTTCAAAGCAAATGGGCACGATGGACCCTGCACGCAGCCCAAGTTTCACCAGCTGATGAGCGAGTTGTGTTGACCACTTGTCGAGATCTTGATAGGTGAACTGGCCGTCCCACGCATGAATGGCGATCGCTTGTGGCTGTCTATCCTCCGTCTCCTTGATCAAGTCGTGCACGCAGCGATGGAGGGCCTCTGGAACCGTCGCATTCCACTTCCAGATGTCGTCCAGATCCAGCGTGTTGATGGACATGACGTCGGCCAGCTTAGCATGCAGCCTATCGGCGTTGCAGAGTTGTCGAAGAATGTGTTCCATCTGGGCGGCAATTCTCGTCATGTTTTCGACGGGTATGATGTTTTCATCATACGTAATCTGCAGCTGCAGACCATCTTGTTCCAGATCGCTAATGACATTGACAGCATACGTATCAAAGGACCCCATGAAACCCTGCTCTTGATCGTCATCGCTGTCCGGAAGGAACAGGTCGCTGCCGATTTGGGTTTCTTCAATTGGTTGCACGACGAGCAGCGTTTGAAACTGACATGCTGCTTTCGCCTCTGCACTCACCCGGCTGATCTGTGACAGGCCCGTCTGTTCAAACTCAATCATTTTTACAGCTTGTTCCTGCATGCCGATGAGGAACTGCGCAACTGTCTTGGAACGGTCGTCAAATCTGACGCGGAGAGGGACTGTTGCGATGGCCGGGCCAACCATGGACTCGACACCAGGCACGGCCGCGCTGCGCCCTGCGATTGTTGCGCCAAACACAACGTCGTCCACACCAGTATATTGAGCAGCGACAATGGACCAAGAGGCTCGGATTGCGATAGAAGGAGTTACATCAACCCGAGGCCAACGCAGACCACTGATCTTTCGTATTATGGACTGACTGGCAATCGGTTGGTAATTAAAAGTCGGCAGCGCTGGGAAGCTAGGCGCTTCAAGGCCTTCCATCTCGCGGCCCCAGAAATCTGCTGCTTGCGCTGGATCATTGTTGATCATGTGGGCGACGAAACCCTGGAAAAGCACAGCCGAAGAGGCCTCTTCACCATTGTATGCTTTTTCGAGAGAGTTGAGCATGGACAGCAGTGACCATCCGTCGTAGAGGGCATGGTGGATTGTCCAGACAAGGTGATGGTGACCAGCTTGGTGAACGAGCCGGAATCGTGTCAGTGATGTGCCCAGGCCCATCGACTGGAGTCTATCCTTGTCTGCAAGAAATTTGAGGTCGATGGCATATTCGGCGTCGGTGGGCCATTCTGGCTGTTCTAGGACCACAACCTGCACAATGCCTTGTCCGGGCAGGTCGATGATGCGTGTTCGCAAAATGGGAGTTGCGGCAACCAGGCTGTTCCAAGCCTCTTTGAAGCGGGCAATGTCTATGGTCTGGTGAAGGGTGAATATTTCCTGGCCGACATAGTCGCCCGCGCGCTTTGCGGTGAGCGCGAGCAGACCTTGTTGCAGCGGCGTGCAGGGGAAGATGTCTTGGATCTGGTCGGCGGCAACGGAGCAGAGCTTGGAAGCTTGGGCTCGGACATTGTCGGAGCTGAAGCTAGGCTGGAGAAGTGAGAATGGGGCGACTTCTTTCACCTGAATTTGGCAGCGCTCGTTGATGCTGGCCGCCAGGTCCCTGAGTCGAGGGCTCTTGAACACGTCTGCCACGGTAAGGAAGACGTCTTGCTGACGCGCGGCCTCTACGAGCTTCATGACACTGATGGAGTCTCCACCAATGCGCAGGAAGCTATCATCTCTGCCGATACTATCCGGGCTGATGTTGAGGACGGTAGACCACAGGCTCTGAATCTGTCGCTCGGCAACAGTCTCGGGGGCTTGCTTTTCTTGCTGGCCGGCATTTGCGGTCAATTCTTCCAGGGTCAGTGCCTCGCCCTTGGCGCGCAGACTGCGGCGGTCCATCTTGCCGCTTGCGGTAAGCGGAAACCCAAGGACGGGCATGAAAGCAGACGGCGTCATGTAGGCAGGAAGCTGCTCGGCGAGTCTCTCCTCGAAGCCGACAAGAATGGGCTTCATGGCGTCATTTAACACCTCGATCGCGTTGCCGATGGAGCTTTTGACTGATGAACTAATGTCCAAAAAGGCGACTAGAATTGGCTTGATGCCCTTGGAGGGCGTAATAAGCTCGACCACGACACCGGCATTGACACCATTTGGAAGACATTTCCGAACGACATGCTCGACTTCTCCTAGTTCGAGGCGCTGACCGTTGACCTTGACCTGGGTGTCCTTGCGGCCGACAAAGGTCAAGCTGCCGTCTTGGTGATAACGCACCAAGTCACCGGTCTTGTACAGACGTCCATGGCGACCGGGTTGATTGGGTCCTGAGCCGCCGCGCAGCAGCCAAGCCGGGTCTTGAACAAATACTTGTGCAGTTTTCTTGGGCTCGTTGAGGTAGCCCAGCGTCACTAGAGGCCCTTCCAACAATAGCTCACCAATGCCTCCGACGGGCGTCAGGATGTTGTGGTCACTAACCTCGGTGACCCACGTATTCAGACCTACTCCCTTGCCAATGGTTTTTTCCGAACCGCGCGCCTCTGAGACGCGATGGAGTGTTGCAAATGTGGTACACTCACTCGGTCCATACATGTTGTGGATGGCCGTCTTGTGCGGGATGTAGGCAATGTCATCCTGTCTAAAGGACTCGCCAATCAAATGGAGCGTATCGAGGTTAGCCAATCCCGCCACGTCAAGGGCTCGAATGGTTGAAGGAGTGAGTAGCGACACATTGGCCTCGAGCTGGCCGATTCCTTGCAGAGGGCTGGTTCTCCTCGTCTGGTCGCTGGGGATGCAGATTGTGCCTCCTGCGGCAAGGCCCTGGAGGAGGTTGCACCAGACGAGATCGAACGTGTACGACGCGAAATCGTACACTCTCGAAGCTTTGCTGAATTTGAGAGCCTGCTGTTGATGCTGGATGGCACTGCTCATGTTGGAATGCGTGACCACGACACCCTTGGGTTTGCCTGTGCTGCCCGAAGTGAAGACGACGTACAGCGCATCTTCCGGCTTCACGACAGGCAGCTTGGCGGTCGGACCGGGGACTGGGAGCTGAGTCAACGCCGTCTCGCCAACGACTACAGAACTTGCTGCCGTAGCCGCAACGAGCCGGTCCGCAATGTCTCGCTGGTTCTCAGAGGACAGTACCAGTGTAGCCTTGACCTGCTGTACAATCATCCTGAGCCGTTCTTCTGGCTGTGCTGGGTCCATTGCCACCGATGCGGCACCAGCCTTCATGACAGCGAGCATCGCGACCGGCGTCCACATTGATTTTTCAAAGCACAGGGGAACGAAGCCCTTGACTCGGAGAGTAACAAGATAGTGAGCTATTTGGGTTGACCATGTATCAAGCTCCTGATATGTTAGCTGTCCGTCCCAGGCATGCACGGCCACATCGTTGGGCTGTCTAGCAACAGATACAGCGATAATGTCATGTACACAGCGACTAGCAGTCTCGGGCACTACCGAGTTCCAAGTCCAGACGTTGGCCAAATCTACTGTGTTGAGAGAGATAAAGTCACCCAGCTTATCGTCGAGGTTCGAGGTACAAAACTGTTGCAGCATAAACTCGATTTGCGAGATGATGTTTGCCATTTGCTCAGCTGCCACGATTTCCTTGTCGTAGTTGACTTGGAGTCGTACGCCGCCCTGCTTTAACTGGCAGATGATGTTGATGGCGTACGTGTCAAACGCTCCAATCAGACCCTGTTCCGTGTTGACTTCATCCTCTTCCTCGGTATCTGGCGCAAACAAGCCGCCTGCAGTCTGCGTTTCCTCGTCAGGCTGCACAACGAGCAGCGTCTGGAACTGGCAGGCCGCTTTGGCCTCGGGGCTGAGTTGGCTGATTTGCAGCAGACCAGCCTGCTCGTACTCAATCATCTTGGCCATTTGCTCCTGCATCATGGCCAGAAAATGCGTGACGCTTTGGGAGTAATCCAGCTTCACCCTCAGAGGCACGGTGGCAATGGTTGGACCGACAATGCGCTCGACGCCCGGGACAGGGACGTGACGGCCTGCGACGGTTGTCCCGAAGATGACGTCTCTCAGGCCTGTATACTGGGCGACGATGACTGCCAGGGCCGCTCGGAGCACCACAGTGGGCGTGACGTCGGTCTTTGGCCACGACAGGCCGCTGATGGAGCGCACAATGGATTGGCGAGAGTCGGGTCGATAGTTTGGCAAAGGCAGCGCTGGAAAAGCCTGCGCCTCCAGATCCTGGAGCTGCTGGCTCCAGAAGTCGGCAATCTGCTGGTGGCTGACGGTCTTGACATACTGCACAAACGCCTGATATGGTGGTGGGGGAGCGAGTGTGCTGCCGTTGTAAGTGCTCTCAAGGGCGCTCAGCATGATGGACATTGACCATCCATCATAGAGGGCATGATGAATGGTCCAGACGAGGTAATGTCGCTGGCCCTGAAGAACCAGTCGGAAGCGCATCAGAGGCGCGCCAAGGCCCATGGAGTGCTTGTTGTCCATGTGCATGTAGTGGCCAAGATGCTCGGAAGACTCAGCGACGGCAGTTTCGGGCCATGTGTAGCCCTCATCGACCACGACCTGCACGAGCCCTTGCCCAGGCAAATCAACGATGCGCGTCCTAAGGATAGGCGTGTTGGCCACCCACTTGTGCCATGCATCTTGGAAACGTGAAATGTCAATCTCCTGACGCAGTTCAAAGACTTCCTGGGCAACATAGTCTCCGGCTCGTCTCGCCGTCAAAGCAAGCAGACCCTCTTGCAATGGCGTGCAAGGGAACACATCCTGGACTTGTTCTGGGCTCACCGAACAGAGCTTGGCCGCGTCCAGTTGTGTCTGGCGCGCATCGATACCGGACCGGACGAGCGAAAACGGTGCAATGGGCTGCTGGCTGGGTTCGACGAGCTTCCCGACAATGGTGGCAAGATCGCTCAAGCGAGGCCGCTTGAGAATGTCGGCCACGGTCAAGTAGAGGCCCCTTGAACGCGCGAGTCCCACGACTCTCATGGCGCTGACAGAGTCGCCGCCAATACGCAAGAAGCTATCGTCGGCACTGATAGTGTCTGGGCTGATGCCCAATGTCGAGGACCATAGCTCTTGGATCGTTTGCTCAGCCTCGGTTGTAGGCGGTCGCTTTTCTTGCTCCTTGTGGTACGGGTTGAGGGCCGTCAGCTCACTCAAGGTGTAAGCTTCCGCTTCCGCGCGCAAGACTTGGCGGTTGATTTTACCAGCCGCGGTCAGTGGTAAATTGTTTCTGGGTATGAATGTGCTGATTATGATGTTGGTTGGGAGAGACTGGGTGAGCCTTTCCTCGATTTCCGCTTGGCGGTTGTGCATTGACTTGAAAAAGTCATTCTTGTCCGCGATGCCAATGTCCAGGAACGCGACCAGCACTGACTGTTTACCCTGGTTAGGCGTGATGACGTCGACGACAGCTCTACCGTAGCCGCCGTCGGCAAAACATGTGTGGATGACGTGCTCTATTGCCTCCAACTCGAGACGCTGGCCGTTCAACTTGACTTGTGTATCTTTTCGGCCCACAAAGATTAAAGTGCCGTCTTGGTGGTAGCGGACCAGGTCGCCAGTCTTGTACAGACGTCCGCGTCGGCCTCCGCACAGCAGCCAGGGAGGATCCTCGATGAAGGCCTCTGCCGTCTTGTCTGGCTGGCCGAGGTAGCCTGGGCCGACCAGGGGTCCTTCGAGAAGAAGTTCTCCGACGCAGCCGACGGGCACCAGGGACGAAGAGTCTTGCGCATCGACAATCCACGTACACACACCGACACCGACTCCGATGCTGCCGCTGACCATTTCAGGCGTAACCCGTGATATCGTAGCCGTAGCCGTGCATTCACTAGGCCCGTACATATTATTGACATGTTTGACCGATTTCGACCACCGCTGGGCGTCTGTAGGCAGTAGGCGCTCCCCACCGAGGGTCAGAGTGTGCAGTCTCTTGGTAGCAGCAGCAGCAGCAGCAGCGTCAGTGAGGAGGAGAAGACTGGCAGCGGTGGGAGTCATGTCGATGTGGGTGACGCGAAATCGCTCCATTGAAGCCGCGAGGTCGTCGCGACGCTCATCTTGCGAGGGAATGCACAAGCAAGCGCCGCCGGCCAGCGAAAAGAGCAAGTTGAGCCAGGCAGCGTCAAAGGCGTACGAGGCAAAGTCGTAGACGCGCGCAAGCGGTTCGCGGTAGCCGAAGAAGTCTTGTTGGTATCGGATGGCGCTGCTGAAATTCGAGTGCGTGACGATGACGCCCTTGGGAGTTCCCGTCGTCCCAGAGGTAAAGAGGATGAAGAGTGGACTGCTTGGTTCGACAATAGGCAGCGCGAGAAGAGACTCGGGGGAAGAAGAGAGTAGTGTCTGGGTCAGCAGCAGCAGCCATGCTCGGTCAATCGACACGACTAGAGTCGACATTGATGTGGTGAGCTGCGCGGCAAGGCTTTGGTACTTGATGGACGATAGCAGAAGCTTGGGCCGGACTTGCTGGACGATTGCGCGCAGTCGCTGCTCGGGCTGCTGCTCGGGGTCCAGTGCCACCGACGCCGCGCCCGTCTTCATGACGGCGAGCATCGCGACCGGCGTCCACACGGTCTTTTCGAAACAGAGGGGGACAATGGAGCCCGTGCCGACGCCCTGGCTGACGAGGTAGCTGGCCAGCTTGGTGGACCAGACGTCGAGCTCCCCGTATGTTAATGTTCCGTCCCACGCGTGTATAGCGTCAGCGCCGGGCTGGCGTTGGGTCGTGTCGGCGATGAGCGCGTGGACGCAGCGCTCGACTGCTTCGGGGACCTGCGCGTTCCATTTCCAGATATTCGCCCAGTCCGTGTCGCTAATGGTGATGGCTTCACCGAGCGTCTTGCCAAGGTTGCCCGGGAGGCACAATTGCCAGAGCACGTGTTCCATTTGCGCCACCATTCGCGCCGTCGTGTCGGGTGCGACAATGTCGTCGTCGTAGTTGATTTGAAGCCATACGCCGCCATCCGTCTCGAGGTGACAGATGATGTTGATGGCATATGTATCAAATGCTCCGATGAATCCAGAATCTGGACTCTTTTCCTCTTGCTCGGTGCCCGGCGCGAAAATTGTAGATTTCTTTGCAGTAGAGGTAGCAGTAGTAGTAGTAGTAGCAGTAGTATTAGTCTCCGACTTGTTGTTGTTGTTGTTGTTGTTGTTGTTGTTGTTGTTGTTGTTGGGCTGCACAACCAGCAGCGTTTGAAACTGGCACGCGGTTCTGGCTGCGCGGCTCACGCGGCTAATCCTCAGCAAACCAGCCTGTTCAAACTCAATCATGTCGACCGCTTGCCGCTGCACGTCCGCCAAAACCTGACCAACACTCTTTGAATAGTCGAGCTGGACGCGCAGGGGCACCGTGGCGATTGTCGGGCCTATTATGGCTTCTATACCGTGCACGGGAGCATGTCGGCCAGCGACTGTGACGCCGTAGAAAACGTCTCTGGAGTTTGTGTATTGGGAAATGACAATGGCCCAGGCGGCTCGAAGCGCCATGGTGGGCGTGACGCCGGCGGCTTGCGGCCACTGCACGTCGTTGATGTGGTGGTGCAGTTTGGCATTTGGACGGGGCTCGTAATCTGCTGCTGGTAGTGCAGGAAAGGGCTGAGCGTCGAGGTTGGATAACTGGCTATCCCAGAATGCTGAAACTTGCTCTTGGTCACCCTTGACAATGTGCTTTACAAAGTCTTGAAACGGCGGCGATGGTGGTGATGGCAAGTTTGCATCATTATGGTAAATGGTCTCGAGCAAATTGAGCATAATGGGAATCGACCATCCATCAAAGAGAGCGTGGTGAATTGTCCAAATCAAACAGTTGCCGTGCGCTTGCTGCACCAGTCGAGCATACAAGAGCGGCGTCCCGAGTTCCATGCGTACTTGTTCATGCTCGTGTATATAATCCTCCAGACTCCGAGTATCATCTCCACTGGCCAAGACATGATGATGACCCTCGTCAATGACGACTTGCACAATGCCTTGATCAGGTACATCAACCATGCGCGTTCGCAAGATCGGCGTCTGCGACACAAACGTCTTCCACGCTGTGCGGAACCGGCCGGGATCAACTTCAGGAAGCAGCGCAAACGTCTCCGTCGCAACGTAATCGCCCGCGCGCTTGGCCGTCAGCGCAAGCAGTCCCTCTTGCAGCGGCGTGCACGGAAAGACATCTTCAATCTTGTCTGGCGCGACGGAGCAAATCTTGGCTGCGTAGAGGCGAATCTCCTCGGGCGAAAGGCCGCCGGGCTGCAGGAGCGAAAACGGCTTCACAGTCTCTTCTCGCCCGCTGCTTTTGCTTTTGCTTTGGCTTTTGCTGTTGCTTTGGCTCAGTACACCCGCGGCAAGGTCACCCAGACGGGGTTTTTTGAGTATTTCCGCCACGGTCAGGTGTAGGCCCTGCTCACGCGCAAGGGATACGAATTTCATGACTGTGATGGAGTCGCCGCCCACACGCAAGAAGCTGTCATCTACCCCGATGCTAGACGGGCTGATATTCAAAATGGAAGCCCATAGATGCTGAATCGCCTTTTCAGTCTCGGTAGTAGGTGACTGCTTCTCCTTGCGACAGGGGTTCATTGCCGTCAGCTCCTCTAGGTTGAAAGCCTCGCCCGTGGCACGAAGGCTCCGGCGATCTAGCTTGCCTGAAACCATGAGAGGGAAGCCCTTTATGGGTATAAAGGCAAAAATCGTCATGTAGGCAGGAAGTCGCCGAGTGAGCTGCTCTTCGAGGGCAGCGCCCTTTTTCCTCAGGGTTTCAAAGTAGAGGTCCCCGTCGGGCATGGCGTCGACGTCGACAAACGCCACGAGAACTGGTCTTTTTGAGCCAGTGGGCGTAATGTGCTCAACAAGGGATCTGCAATCGCCAGCCGTTTTGAGGAGACATTCCTTGACAATGTGTTCAATCTCGCCCAGTTCGGTTCTCTGGCCATTGACTTTGATTTGGGTATCCTGACGGCCGACAAAGATGATTTCGCCGTCTTGGTTGTACCGCACCAAATCGCCAGTCTTGTAGACGCGGCCGCTGCGGCCTTTGTAACCGGGACCGCCGCTGACCAGCCATGGAGGGTCATTGATGAAAACGGCAGCCGTCTTCTCGGGGTCGCCAATGTAGCCGGCGCCGACGAGCGGTCCCTCAATCACCAGCTCTCCGACCGTTCCAACAGGGACCAGCACGGTGTGGTCGGACGGCGATACAATCCACGTGTTTACACCAAACCCGGTACCTATACTGCCAGAGAACTCGGTGCTTCGATCAATATTGGAAATGGTCGAGGTTGGCGTGCATTCCGACGGACCGTACGTATTCTTCAGCTCGACATCCTTGGGAAAGCGGTCCAAGGCTTCAGCATGAGCCTTTTCGCCGCCCAGGACAATCGTCTGCAGCGTTTCTGCCGTCTTGGGCGACAAGACGTACGCCATTGTCGGCGTCATTTCCGCATACGTCACCCCGAGCCGTATAATGGACTCTGAAAAATTGTCCCGTCGGTCTTGTTCCGACGGGATACACAGCACGCCACCCGCCGTCAACGTATGCAGCACATTCATCCAGGCCACGTCAAAGGCGTACGAGGCGAAGTCGTACACCCTAGAGTCTGGCTTGAAGCCGTGCGCCGCCTGCTGGTACTTGACTGCGCTGCTGAGGTTGGAGTGTCTGATGGAAACGCCCTTGGGCCGTCCCGTGCTGCCCGACGTAAAGACAATGTACAAGAGACTGCTTGGGTCGACTGTTGGCAGCCTGTCGCTGCTCAGAGGAATGGGCAGCCTAGACAGCCGGTCCTCGTCGATGACAACCACCGAGGCCGACGGCGGCATGGAGCTGAGCAGCTTGTTCGCGACAGACTGCTGCTGCTGCTTGGATGAAGAAAGAATCAAGACGGGCTCGACTTGCTGAACAATGACTCGCAGACGGTCTTCGGGCTGGACCAGGTCAACAGCTACCGAGGCGCCGCCGGCTTTCATGACGGCCAGCATCGCCACTGGCGTCCACATGGACTTTTCAAAGCACAAAAGTACGATTTTGCCCGGGCAAACGCCAAGGCCGACTAGGTAATGGGCGAGCCGTGTCGAGTGGTTGTCGAGTTGTTTGTATGTCATGCTTCCATCCCAGGAGCAAATGGCCTCTGCCGTTGGCTGTTTGGACGTGACTTTTGCAATGAGATCGTGGACACATCGATTGACGGCCTCCGGCACCGTGGCATTCCAGCCCCAAATCCTTTCCAGATCCGAGGTGGATATTTCATTACCATTCTCCGATGAATTCATCTGGATTGTTACGGCAAAAATTGTTGAGTAATGTTGGTATAAGCGGCGCAGTTTCTAAAAGCAACTCAGGCTATGAAAGCACTCCTGTCGTCTACTTGGTGATATAAGCCCGCAGCCGGGCACCTTTGCTTATAAGACGCCATCATTGTACAGAGATCAACCGGTATAACGGTATCCATCCGAGCTTGCATTAAACACCATACTCGGCAACTTCCTCGAGAGGGGGAGTGCTGGCTACGTGGGGGGGGGGGGGGGTTTACTGGTAGAACAGTCGGCGCACATTGGGCCCCCCTCAGGACAATCACCACTCCTAGCCGGTACCGCAGTAACTCGACGGTGCTTACAGGAAGCACAGATGTTGTTTTGGCCGTTTGATGGTATGGCTTACAAGTTACAGCCTGATCATGTATGCCAAAGTTCGAGACCGACATGCACCCCACGCCACTTGAAGCCATCAATGCGCGCGCGCGCAAAGTCGACGACGGCCGCGTGGCACCATCCAATTTTCCTAGCAACTGCAGAGGGGACCTGCCCACGTACTGCAGGTCTGACGGATATACATGGCGCTTATGGGGTGTGTAGGATTTTCTACATATTTTTTTCTGGAATTGCTGCTAGGCCGCCTCGGTTGCTGGTGTGCCGGTTTGCCGTGCTCTGAGATGCACGATGTCACTGGGCTACGGTCTGAATGTGCCGATTTCTTGTGAGACTTGGTAGCAGATCATCCTGTCGAGAGAAAATATAACTCACCGCCATGAGATGATGTGTAATGTAGTTCATGGCAAAATTTCCAGTTCGTTTATTTTGCTGACGCTGCAAGGCCAGATCGACATCTAGCGCCGAGACCGCCCCGGCCTATGGATGACGCTCCGAGCGAGGTGTAAGTCAAAGACTTTTTCTATTGACTAAACACAATGATTCAGCAGAAAACTAAATTGGCACAATTAAAGCATATACAGAAAAAAGAAGGTTTACAGATGCCGTAGTGTAATAATCTCCCGGAAATCTCGGCGAATAACTCTATCCAAGCCAAGAGACGGCTGAGGCGTATTGTATTGCATGTACTTGGGTGTGGATAATATCGCCGCCTCGGACGAGCCTCATTAAAGCTTCTCGCGCGGCAAACCGGGGACGCTAACTCACCAGTTCCTTTGCTCCACTATACAAGTTAAAACTAAACTACTACAAGCCACAAAAATGCCTGACCCCGGAGCTGAGGCCGGCTCGCTTTCATACGGCGCCGCTGCCCGTCCTTTCACGCCTTGTCACTTTTAACTTGCGTCTGCCCAGGCACATCATTGCCGTGGATTGGACAGGACTTCATCGTAGTGGGGCCTGTATTCCTACGACGCCAGCCTATGGCATCAAGGTGGCCGAGATGCGTCATCTAAAAAAAAAAAAAAAAAAGTCACACGAAATCCCGCAGCCTTTTCTTCTTTGCAAAGGTGCGCCCCAAATGTCCCGCAATCGAGCGCTTTGGGAAACTTCCGAGAGACATGGATGGACATGGAGGAAGCTTTCTGGCCCGGGACATGAAATGATCAGGTGCTGGAATCATGGTACTCGTCTCAAGTCTCACAACTTGACAACCAAAACGGTCATCGGCAACCTGTGCTTATGCTACTGAGCCCACTGTACCACTTGAATGATGCTTGTGGAATATAATCGTCTCCAGTACCATGACAAATTCCATCATCTGTCATCTGAGAGGACCCGAATATTAAGCAATATCTGCTGAGAATAGGATTCACAAGTAGTGGGAGTGGCAGTGGCTGCTGGCGTCGACGCGGCCTGAAGCCATAGGATCATGCAAGTGAATACACGTCAAAGCTCAGCGCAGAGGCCATGGCGGGGTATGCCTTGCTTCTGATGCTCGGATCTATCAAAACATGGCAAATGATGCAAGAGACTCGCCACGGCCTTGTCAAATGCTTCATGGGGAACCTGGTACTTGCGTGGATAGGTAATCTGACTGGGTTCGCCCAGCTCAATTAGAGGACGCGACTGACGGCGTCTATTAGTCGATCAGCCAACGCACCAATAAAGCAGCATGTTACATATAAAACTTACAGGTTTCATCATATCTACCACCTTTCGCAGACGCACCGCACCTACTGTGGCTTCTTCATGTCCAAGCCCGGCAAACATGGACGCCAAGTCTCCGTACAACTACTACTACTACTACTCTCCGAGTATCGCAATCATCTTTGCGGCATGTCTTTTGATAAGCCGCGTCGTCTATGCCCTCTTCTTCTCCTCCTATTGCCATATTCCCGGCCCAAGAATATGCAAAGTTACCCGTCTTTGGGTAGACCTGTATGACATTTTTCTACGACGCAACCAGCAGATTTACAAGTGGCATCAAGAATATGGCCCCGTCATTCTCATTGCTCCGGGACAAGTTTCCGTGTCCAGCGCAGCTTCGACCAAGATGATATACCGCGCAGGGACGCAGCACCCAAAGAGCTCCTTCTTCAACAACTTTACCCTGTACGGCGAGCGAACAATCTTTACCGCGCTTGGCTGCATGGAGCACCGCGCCATGCGAAAGACGACGTTTGCATTCTACCAGCCAACCACGGTCTACAGCGACGCCGTGATGCTGCCTCTTCGTCGGCGCGTCCGCCGCTTTGTGGATGAATTGAGCAATAGTGCGCATGCGGAATCGACCGTTGTTGGTGCCGACATCTTCAAGCTCACCAATTCGTACGCCTTTGACAACATTACCTCGCTCGTCTACGGCCCGAGCCACACTTCTCAGTCGCTGGATTCTGAAAAGGAGAAGCAAACGATTCTGCAAGACTGGGCCGAGTGCGAGATTTGGAACAATCTACTCTACGCTTTTCCCCTTGCTCACAGGTTTATCAAGTTTGCCATGACCCATCTCAAGAATCCTCACTTCTTGCACGCCGAGCAGAGACTGTTCGAGTGGAACATGGAGCGACTCGACTCGACTTTGAGAGACATTGATACAGCTGCTACAGGCGAGTCGCTCGTCGGGCGGCTGCTCAAGGACGAAAAGGGCAGCAGCAATGCTCCCCGCAAGACTCTTGTCGCCGCAGAGTGTCTGGACAATATCCATGCTGCTCAGACGACAGTCTCGCTAGCGCTTACATATACCATTTGGCTCTTGGCCGTGCACCGCAGCTGGCAGCGCGAGGTCAGAAACGAGCTGCAAGCCTTGCCTTTGGAGCGAGACGGCCTGCCTTGTTTTGACGCCATCAGGAAGAAGGCACCGGTGCTGGAGGCTTGTCTTTGCGAGTCCCTCCGGACAAGGCCGCTTTCTAGCGGCCGAGCAGAGAGAATTGTGCCGGAAACGAATTTATACGACGACGTCATGATTCCAGCAGGGGTAAGTCTTGGGGAAAAAAAAAAGCCTCTATTTCTTTTTTTTTTCTTTTTCTTCTTCTTTTTCTTTTTTTTTTCTTCTTTTTTTCTTTTTACTTTACCTTTTCTAAGCCACATTTTATAGACCATCATTTCAACCTCTACGATAGCGATTCAGCATAACCCTCACGTCTTTCAAAACCCTCACTTCTACGACCCCGGTCGTTGGCTGCGAGCAGACAAGGACGAGCTGCGCGCCATGGAAAGCTGTTACATTCCGTTTGGATACGGCGCGCGCTTGTGCCTAGGAAAAGCGTTTGCCGTGGCCGAGATTAAACTTTTGCTGGCATGCCTGCTGCTGAATTTTGACATTTACGAGAATGAGCAGTCTGGCACAAACGCGACGACAATGGGCCAATTGGGCACGGAGAATGCACTACCGCGGGGACTGCGCTGTGACGTGCTCTTTCGGAGATTACAAAAAGTGTGAAGCCGTAGTTACGAAGTACAGTAGCGACGGAATGCGGCCGAAGTGGCTGCAGATCATGGACAAGGGATAAAATATACCGAGTATTATAGTGACAAAGAGGTTGGAGACGGCTGGGGGCATAGATTGACTTGTTGTTTTGGCTAATTTCCTAATCATGCTGCAGAAAAGTTTAGTAATAGAACTAAAAAGAACAAGTAAGAATAAAAATTAAATTAGTCACTGAGAAATTAAATCCAAAGGGTATCTTACAGGAACCCTGCGCGAATCCATCCTGCATGTCTTGAAGAACTGCGAGTTCGTTTACTGACAAGTTACAACTGAGCTCGAAGGTGTGGCTGTTACAATTTGATACTTGTAATGGCAATAACCGGTTCTTTTACGGGCTAGATCAGCATGTCTTGCACGTTGTGTACATGAGCGCTGACGAAACTAAAAAGCTTGTACATGGCTCGGGGAATTGCAAACCCGGTAGTTGTGTCACCAAAAGGCTTTGGTCATGACGAATCCCATCATCACGCCACCGTGAGGGGTTACATGCGAATAAGCCAAGGTAATTGTTAAACATGTCTGCGTGCTATGCATAATAGGCAAGGACGTTTGGTGACAAATACCACAAAACAAAAGACCCTGCGGCTTTGACAAGTGCTCGAATCCCGTCAGCATGCAGTAGCTAGATTAGATGAGATGAAATTAGTCAAGAAACGTCGCGACCTGAGCTAGGTAGGTAGTTGTCCTGTTGTTGCAGTGTGACAGCGTTGCAGTAGGGACCATGCATTGAAGAGCACCCCGAGGTAACAGGCAGGGTGGGGGGCAGATAGCACGGCGTAGCCCGGGACGAATCAGAACAATATCCGAAAAGCTTCAAAAAAAAAAAAAAAAAGTCTTGGCTTCGGATTTGAAGTTCGGCTTTGATGAGCGGTGTTAGCCCGGCCCTATGCCGGACCCCTCCCACCGACCGAGTACAGACGAATTATGTGGGCAAGCGTCGATCAGATGAGAAATGCCTTACGAAAAAAGCCGCCGGCGCTGTCCACAATAACAACTGATTAGATCGATAGCGGTGTATGGAGACGAGTCTAGATCTGCATAACCCGTCATCTTGCCCACAAAAACACGGAAACAAGACGAAAAATAGAAATCTTACAACCAAACAAGGATTGTAAAATTTAAACACAACAGGGGACAGGGGACAGGGGGCGTGTTGTCATGTTTGGATACACGCTAACAGGGTGTGTAGATAGGCTGCTGCCACCCACTGTAAGCCGCAGTCCAGCGCCCATCATCTTGACCTATTCCAGCACACGCCGGCTGCCGTGGTGCTTTGCGGGCGTTTGGGCGCGCCACCTCCTCCCCTTCGTTCGGTCCGTCAGCCTACACCGGCACCTAACCCGAGCAAGCAACATGCGACCTGCGCTCAACGGCGGCAGATGCTCGATGCAGATTTTGTCCATCTTGTGATTTCGCCTCGCCCACAAGCTGGCCGGTTTCCTTGGGCATCAAAAGCGAAATAAGAAATCACTGGCATCAAATTTGACCCTTTCCGGCTGCACCTGCAATCGCGCGCGTTACCTCATTCCAAACGCATCGCGATGCATTCAAACAACAGCTGCACAATTGATGTCGAGAGAGTCTTTGGGCCTTCCGTCTCCTCGACATGTCTAGGCGGCTTCGACTTCACCTTGGTTTTTGAGGAGACGATTCTTACGATTCTGCCGCTGAGCCTAACCTGCGAGTCCCTAGTAAAACACCCGTCTCGCTACCGCGCTTGCTAATGCCTGTCTGCAGTCTTCTTATCACTTGGGCGCGCACTTCAATTGCGGAATGCGCTTGCAAAAGTCGATAAATCATGGCTTCTTCCGGTCAAATTGGTACTGTTGCGACTGCGAAGCATTGGGCAGAGCGAACCCTGGCTAATGCATATCCAAGGTCACGTACGGGACGTATATTGTATTGCAGATTCTTCTCCTGGCACTTTGGGCGCAACCTCATGCCCCCAAGACGGTGTCAACTCTCGCAGCGCTCTCAGTCACCCTCGTCACCTCCCTCTTCTTCCTGTACCTCTCCTACCTGGAGCACACGCGATCGGTGCGGCCGTCGACTCTCCTGACTCTGTACCTGGGCCTGTCCACCCTTCTTGATCTTGCTCGTGTTCGGACTCTATTCTACCTGCAATCGGCTAATCACCTGGCGGCTGTTTTCCTCGCTGGATTTTGCGTCAAGGTCGTCATGTTCGCTCTGGAACTGTACGAGAAGCGCCGTTTGCTTCGTCCCAAATGGCAGGATTCCGCGCCCGAAGCTACGAGCAGCACATACAGCAGAGCTCTCTTCATCTGGCTCAACAGTCTCATGGTCAAAGGTTTCCGCTCCTCCCTGACTGTTGACACCTTGACACCCATAGATGGCGACCTCCTCAAGGCGTCGGAGCCATCATCGCTCCTGGAGAGGTGGAATCGAGGTTTGCGGCCCGCTTTACACTCAAAACACAGATGGCGCTAACAGCTCGAGCAGCGGATCAAACAAATAAACACGCATTGCTATGGACTTTTATCATGCATTACAAATGGCAGATACTAGCTGCAGTGCCTGCCCGACTTGCCCATGCAGCATTCACCCTATCCCAGCCATTCCTCGTACAAAGAGTGCTCGACTATACTAACAAGCCCCCAACGGAATCCGACAAAAATACAGGCTACGGCTTAATCGCCGCTTATGCCCTCGCCTATATTGGAATTGCCGTATGTCACGCGACGCTCACGCTGGCAATCTAAAACTGATGTTTCGCATATAGGTAGCGTACGCAGTCTACGAGCTCAAGGTATATCGCGCCATCACTCTCTTCCGCGGTAGCCTCGTCTCTGTAATTTTCGACAAGACTCTTCGAGTCAGCTCTCATGCTGCTTCCGACGCCGAAGCAATGACTTTGATGAGTGCAGACATTGACCGCATCGGAGAAAGCATGGAAGACGTACACGAACTCTATGCCGGTCCACTGGAGCTGGGCCTGGCCCTGTGGCTTCTGTACAGGTTTCTTGGTGTGGCAATGTCAGCCTCGACCGCTTTCGTCATCGGTATACCCGCTCCGTTCACCGACTGTGTTGAAGAGATCACGGCGCTGACCTTTTATAGTTTGCCTCGTTGGCAGCTTGCGGGTTGCAACTGTTGCTGGTAATGCCCAAGTTCCATGGCTTGAGGCTATCGAAACTCGCTTGGAAGCAACTTCTGGTGCCCTTGGTGCATTGAAAGGCATTAGAATGACCGGCGTCAGCGGTGCCATTTCCAACGTAATTACCCGCCTTCGTCAGGACGAAATTCGGTCCTCTCTTCGCTACCGTCTTTGGAACATCTTCTTGAACGCTGGTTGTGAGTATACCGGTTATTCGAGTTGAAAGTGCACACTGACAAGCCCTAGTTTATGTGTCGTCCACGTTTGCTCCTGTTTGGGGTTTTGGCGTCTTTATTCTTCTCGCCAGATCAAGAAACACACAGACGCTTACAGAACAGATTATTTTTCCTGCCCTGACTCTGTACGAGCTCTCAGATCAACCCACTGTCAACATTCCTGATGCGCTTGAACATGCGCAGACAATTCTCAACTGTTTTGAACGTATTCAAGACTACCTTGTTTCAGATGAGCAAGGTGACTCAAACACCGATTCGGAACAAGCCGAAGCAAAGGTCTCTGGAAGCAATGAGGAGGACGAGTCAAGTACTACTTCGTCCCAGGAGAAGCATGCGGTTGTCAAGGAGAATGTGAAAGCAGAAGTCTTGCAAAAGAATGACCTGCCAAGCACTGACACAATATTCACTGCACGCAATGTCACAGCCGGATACTCTTCTGAGAAGGAGCCTGTGCTCAAAGCTCTCACCTTTGACGTGACCAAGTCCAGGACCACCATGGTCATTGGACCCGTGGGTTGTGGCAAGTCTACGCTTCTGAGACTTCTCCTTGGCGAAGTGCCCGAGGTAGGAGGCTTCCTCGATAGGCGATTTCCAAGCTCCGCATATTGTCCTCAGACCTCCTGGATATTCCGAGGCACGATCCGCGACAACATTGTTGGCTTGTCCACGTGGGATGAGCCTCGCTACAAGAGTGTCGTGCAAGCGTGCTGTCTCTCGGCCGATTTTGACATTCTCCCCAATGGCGACCGCACCGAAGTAGGTACGCGTGGCTCGCACCTGAGTGGTGGTCAGCAAATGCGTGTAGTAAGTGGCTTCATACTCTATACAAGAAAACCACGCAACTGACAGTACACAGACCCTTGCGCGAGCTCTCTTCTCAGGTGAGGACGTCATCATTCTGGATGACGTATTGGCCGGAGTCGACCGTATTACCGAGTCCAGCATTCTTGATGCTGTGTTTGGCCGTGACGGACTGCTCCGACAGTGGAATTCTACAGCCATCTTGGCAACAAGCTCAGGTAAGCATTGTGGCCGCATCATAGCTACACTATGCTAATTCAGATCAGTCCGTCACTTACGCTACTCGGACTTTGTTATTGTCCTCGACCGTCACGGCAACATTACTCAGCAGTGTACACCGGAGGAGCTGTCTGATATCAAGCTTGACCTGGAGAGCTCGGAAGACGATGACTTGGCCGACGGCGAGCCGGAGCTGGACCTCGAACTCCCAGATGAAATCTTGGAGCACATGGCCGCCGCTGAAGTAGAGGACATCGATGGTGGTCGCCGTGTTGGCGACTTGAAAATCTATGCCTACTTCATTAGTGTTGCTGGTTGGTGGTACATGGTGCTCTATGTCATTCTTTATTCTGCGTTTGTCTTTGGTCTTAGATTCCCATGTGAGTCACTGATACCACTTGCACATTGAAGCTCGCCTCGAAACTGACAATTGCGCAGCAATTTGGCTACAGTGGTGGGCTAATGCCAACGAGAGCCATCCTAATGAGCGTATCGGGTACTGGCTTGGTGTCTATGCCACAATTGCAGCCACGGCGTTCTTGGGCAGTGTTGCGTCCGACTCCGTCTTCCAGTTGAAAATTGTGCCCAAGATGATGGTTGAATTCCACCGTCGTCTGCTTACTACCACTATGAATGCCACAACGAGGTTCATCACTTCGAAAGATACCGGAGCGATCCTTAATCGCTTCAGTCAGGATCTCAACCTGATTGACAGCGAGCTACCCAGTGCGTTGGACAAGACCGTCATTGCCATTTTGTCTGCATTCTTTTCCGCAGTTTTGGTATTCATCGGCTCTAGCTATGTCGGTGCGGCCATTCCGCTCTGCATTGGCGCCCTGTACATCATTCAGCTGTACTATCTCCGCACTTCCCGTCAGCTTCGACTCTTGGATATTGAATCCAAGGCACCGCTGTTTTCGCTGTTTGTGGAAAGCATCGAGGGCCTCGCTAGCATCCGTGCCTACAACTGGTCGCACCACTACATGCAGCGCAGCATCGACATTCTCAACTCGTCGCAGAAGCCATACTACCTGATGTGGTGCATCCAGCGGTGGCTCACCTTGGTGCTGAATCTAGTTGTTGCTGCGGTCGCCGTACTGCTTGTCGGCCTCGCAACCAATATTCGCGGCGGCTCGACTGGCTTTCTTGGTGTCGCGCTGTTCAACATTGTCTCGTTTAGTCAGACACTCCAGCTGGTCGTCACGGAATGGACACATCTGGAGACGGCCATTGGAGCCGTCAGTCGTGTTCGTTCATTTGTGCTCGGAACCGAACGAGAGGATGCCATTGGTGAGACGGAGGATCTGCCCAGCGACTGGCCCAAAAGCGGATCAATCACGTTCGCAAACGTATCTGCCTCGTACGAGGCAAGCCTGGGACCTGTTCTGCAAAATATCAACCTCGAGATTGAGAGCGGTGAGAAAATTGCTATCTGTGGCCGAACTGGCAGGTGAGTTTACGCAATCTCCTTTGACGTGGTTCTTTTTCTAATCCAGTTACAGTGGCAAATCTTCTTGTGTCTCTTGTCTTTTCCGCATGCTCGACCCAGGTACTGGCTCGATCTTGATCGATGGAGTTGACATTGCCAAGGCACCGAGAGGCGAGTTGCGCATACGACTGAACACAGTCCCGCAGCAGCCATTCTTCCTATATGGCAGTGTGCGAGAAAATATTGACCCACTCGGTAAGGCGACCGATGAGCGTCTCATCGAGGTCCTAAAGACCGTCCAGCTATGGGAAATTTTTGAGGAGCACGGCGGACTCGACTCGGATATGGACTCGGATCTGCTGTCCCATGGGCAGCGACAACTCTTTTGCCTGGGACGTGCCATGGTTCGCAGTGGTCGCATCCTGGTTCTGGATGAGTTTTCAAGCAGGTGCGTCAATCTACATCCCAACGATTGATGGAGATTCTAACTTGCTTCGCAGCGTTGACGCCGACACGGACGACATGATGCACCGCATCATCCACGACGAGTTTGTAGGACAGACTGTGATTGCGATTGCGCACAAGCTGGACGCTATTCTCGACTTTGACCGCATCGTGTTCCTGGACAAGGGAATGATTGCCGAGATTGGCGCTCCTCGAGAACTTTTGGCTACTGAAGGGTCGCTTTTCCGAGCCCAATATGAAAGTACTGCCAATTAGCTTCCCCCCCCCCCTTTTTTTTTTTTTT